CTACTACTACTACTACTACTACTACTGCTGCTGCTGCTGCTGCTGCTGCTGTTGATACTGGTACTGAGGTGAAACTCATCATGGTAGTACGACTACTAGTAGTACTCGTACTACTAGTAGTACTACTATGCTGGAAATTAGTATGTTCATTTTCTAATAGCAAGATAGTACTACAAATATCAATTTAATATCCAAGAAAATGGTATATTCAGAATCAGCATTAAAAACTGGACTAGAYTGGCTACTCAAAAATTAAAATAGTAGTATTTTTGATAAAGCTGTAACTGCTTAAAGGTTGGATAGTTTTACTAGTATTATGCAGTAAAAATGAGAATGAAAAAAAATCCTTGAGTGACTTTTTGGAAATTTGGACCACACGTGGAAGATGTGCTTCATATGCGCAAAAAAAATTCGATGCGCTCCCCTCTATATTATGACCCCTGTGTAGAACTCCCCTTCATTTTGGGACCATTTTTGAGGGCTGTTTGAACACGTGGTATACCCGAAATAAGAACCCTGGCACCAAATAAATATGGAAAATTAATGTTCTGTCTCGCCTATCTATTCCTCGTCAAAGGCTGTTTTGAGGATTCTGCACACCGCACGGGAAAAAATTCAGAGTGTTTTTGAAGTTGTTGCACTAGAATCCTTCTCCTTCCTTTTCCAGAAACAGAACAGTGGTACCGGTAGGGCACTGTAAAAAAGTACTTTAAAAAAGAACGTGTCAATCCTTTCGAAAGATGTCTTTCAATCATCAACTTGCTAGGCATCCAAAGATTCCATCGAAACACACCAAAACATACTACAGCGTGCAATCGATTTATGCTCGAACGACGTACTTCTATTTTAAAGTGCATTATTTAACCTCGCAATACTAAGATACCGACCTACAATGGATTTCCTCTATCCTGTGTACAATGCAGGGAAGGACTTTCTTTCCAGCGAAACTTTGGTTACGACCGTTAGATATGCTGTGACCTTCTTTGTGATTGCCCTTGTGTCCTATGCAGTCGCAGTCCATCATTACTGGGAAGTACTATTTGCCGAGAGTAGACTCAAACGAACAAGCCCCCTATGCCCATCGAACAAGCAGGCTCCGAAGGTTGGTCGGTAAGTGTCAAGCTCGGCTGTGCCACTCGTAGCGAAAGCACATTGAGGGAATGAATTGCCGGCAAGATCGTTCCAGACACAGCAAAGCGCCGAAGATTGTTGAGTTTCTTGTTTGATCTGTCCCCGGCAAAAAGGAGGCTCACGTTCGCTTTTGGCATATTCTTTCCCGGTAACTAGTTTCTCGGTAAACCAAAAAGAAATCCTGCAGAACGCAGAACAGCACAAAGCCTTTCAGGACTGCGAATTGATCCTCGACGTGCAGGAAAAGCAAAAGAACTGGAGAGACAACACCGTCATCCGTGAACGGGCCAAGCGCATCGGATTCGGAGGCCATATCGACACGGAGGAGGAAGCAGATACCCTCGACATGGATCACGTTTTCATCAAATTTTCCGATTTTCTGTGGGGATTCTTGTTTATCGCGCCAATGTCGATGTACTTGTGGATAAGGGGGGTCTTCATACTCCAGATCCGTGCCTTTCTAGCAAAGAAGGGAATCATCAAGGTCCAAGAATGTGACATCGAACGACTCATTGGGACGATGTGCCTGGAGCAGAGCCAGGTCATCCATTACTTCGCAAGAACAAAGCCAGGCAGCGCCCACGGAAACATCGCCGGTTTTTTCTTTCCCAACTTTCCGTACATCGACAACGATCTGAATTTCAAGGTCGCGGACCTCTTTGCGGTGGACATCGACCTGGACACAAAGAAATTTGTCAAGGCCAAACTGGACGACGAAGACCTCACGCCGATGCAAACACTCATCATGCTTTGGCACAACACCATTTCCGCACAGCACGTCAAACTCCACGCTTACGCCAACTGGGGAGTCAACGACAGCATCAGCCTCAAGAAGACGAACCCCTTCCTTCGCMAGAACAGTGTCGTCACAATCCTGTACAACTTTTTTGGGTACACTCTCTTTGAGCACTTCATGAAGGCATGGGAGAAGCAGGGCCTCATGTCGAAAGGATGGTTCGAATCCAAAACCTTTATCAAGTGTATTAACCACGGCATCCACGAAGGCATTCGACAACACCCACACATTTCCGAGCTAGCGAACGATTCCCGGTTTGTCAACTTTACCATCAAGGTCCGCTCTATCTTCATGAGTGAATTTGCAAAGCACAAGGATACCTTTCCGGGAATCGATGGAGAGGTAAGTACCTTGCGGTGCAACCGATGGTTTTGGATCTCTTTGTTTTTGTGAAACTGTTTCCCGTCGTGCTTTTGCGCGATCGATCGATTGTTGCTTGCTTGCTTGCTCTGTTTCGCTCATCCGTGCGTTTCTTTGTTCGTCTCTCAAACGCAACACGACACATCGAAACACCATGTCACACACAATGCAAACCGTACGTGTCGACAGGCTATGTTCATTGGCACCGTACTCCATTCGCTCGATCACACTCTCATGGATTGGAACCTTGTCGATGCTCTGTGGCTCGACGTGGACGACCCAAAGTTTGGTAAGATGGCGGAACTCGGTCGCATTGTGAAGGTTGGCTTCGTGTCGGACGTCCCCTTTTTGTATTTCCACAAGCGGTTCAAGGGAAGCAAGCACCCTTTCTACGAAGCGGTCTACGAGAAGGCAGCAAAAGTCGATAAGGATCTCGCCGACAACATGGATACTTGCATCATCAAGTAGTTGTTGCGGTGGCTTGCTCGCACCGTGTCGACCCACGTGTGTTTGGTGACCGAGGGCCAAGCAACCTGTTTCCCCGTTGCTTCCTAGCCGATCATGTGAGCTAAAGTAGCTGCTGAAATTTTTTTCAATATGTAAAAATTAACTTGGATACGGTAAGAACGTACCGGTAAGCCTTTCGAACATCCATCATCATCCTGTTCCGTACCGTACCGTTCCGTACCACACGAACGTGATTCTCGATTTTCGGAGTGTTTTAGGAAAGCAAGAGACGAAAGGAAACGTTCTCCGTTATCCTCACTCCAATCCCCTCCCTCGGTTGCAACCCTTGTTGGGTCCGAGGAAAAGCGCCTGCGTCGCCTGGTGTCTCTGCCAGCGGCTTTCTGTTCTTGTCGGTCCCCCCACCGACGAGATTGTTATGCCTATCTTCGAACGAACTGTTTGCACGGCTGAACTCGATGCTGCATTACTACAATAATAGTACTACTAGTAGTACTATCCCTGTTGTTGACAATACTTGTTTTTGGAAATGCCTGGCGATGCACTATTGGAACGTGCCTTGTTGTTCTTTCGTAGCAAGAAGAAAAGTCTCCTTCATCAAGAACGACAATGAAATATGGACATGGGTCAGATTCTACTACTAGGAGCAGGTGAGGACTTCCAATTCCTTCCTTCTTGCTTTGGATACTTTCTTGTTCTTGTTGTTCCTGCCTGCCCAACATCCCCTTCTTTTCTGTGTTTTTCATTTCACTATGATATCAATCTTAGTGGCTTTAGTAGTAGTACTAGTAGTCAGGGATTTTTGCCCGTACCTCGCTCTCACCGTACGGTACGGTACCGTAGGAGAAGAATCTACAGATGGTTTTGATTTTGACATGCGCGCTTTTTTGAAAATTAAATTACCTGACTACCCCCGCGCGACTATTTACTACTTAGGAAGTACAGTACTATATTATTACCTTAGATAAACACGTTGTTATGGCACAAAGCAGTATCTTTCGCAGACTTTGAGACTATCGATTGACACAATCTTCTTTCTTACGGTACGATAGACGACGAAAACAAGAGGAAACAGAAACCAAACCAAACCAAACCAATTGAAACAAAAAAAAACGAACCATGAAGGTATCTGGCGATAGAAGGAAATGGACGACGCTTTTGGCAGCAGCAGCGGCATGGTCCCGGCTCCCGGTGGCGGATGCCTCGGGTTCCACCGCGGAGAACGCGGCCCCCGTTCCCACCCTGCTCCGCACGGCCCGGCGTGACACGCCGCCGCTCCAGATCTACGTCCTGGTCGGCCAGTCCAACATGCAGGGCCACGGGTACGTGGACGCCAGGGAGGAGGACGGGGCCTCCTTTCGGAACGGAACCCTCGAGTGGATGGTGGAAACCTACCCTTCCGCCTACGGCAGGCTCAAAAACAAGGACGGCACGGCCTGGGCCGTCCGGGACGACGTCTATGTTGCCTACAACCGCCAGGACGGGGGGACCGTCCGGCCGGAGTGGAGCACGTCGCACGGCTTTCTCACCGCCGGCTTTGGCGGGGATCCCGGCCAGGAGGGCCACCAGATGGGCCCGGAGCTGGGCTTTGGCTGGGCGGTCGGGGACCACCACTCGAGCGAGCGAAGCGAGCACCAGGCCGGTGCTCGTGCTTCCCCCCCGGCGGTCCTCCTCCTCAAGGTGGCCTGGGGCGGCAAGAGCCTGGCGGTGGACTTTCGGCCCCCCTCGTCGGGGGGGACCACCGGGCTGTACTACGAGGCGGTCCTCGCCACCGTCTGGAGGGCCCTGGGCTCGCTAGAGGGAGTGATCCCGGGCCAGTGGCCCGGCCGGACCTACGAGCTGGCCGGCTTTGCCTGGCACCAGGGCTGGAACGACGGCTGCAACAAAACCATGGCGGCCGAGTACGAGTCCAACCTCGCCAACCTCGTCAGGGACGTCCGGGCCGACCTGGGGGTTCCGGACCTGCCCTTTGTGGTCGGCGTCTCGGGGATGAATGGCTGGAAGAACCGCACGCAAACACAAACACAAATTCAAACACAAATGCAAACACGAACCCAAGCAGAGGCACTCGTCGACGGCCAGCTGGCGGTGGTCATCGACGCCCAGCTGGCGGTGGGCAACCCCTCGGTCTACCCGGAATTTGCCGGTACCGTGGAAAGCGTCGAGACCCGGGGTTTTTTCCGGGAACCCAGGCCGGCCTCGCCGGGGGACCAGGTCTACCACTGGAACAACAACTGCGAGTCCTACTGGAAGGTCGGGGCCGCCATGGGGGAGGCCATGATCGGCCTGCTGCGAACGAAACCAAAGCACGGGCTCCTACCACGCCACCAAGCAAAACAGGTACATGAGTTGTTGAGCAGATAGCGCATACAAACACTATTTCTTTTTTGCTAAAGTACATGCACCTCAAACTAAATATAAAGCGCACAGACTGAGTTTTTGTAACCAGAATTTGCCCTTCTTTTCTCCGTGATAATACTAGTAGTCTGGTTACAAAAAAAATTGGGTCTGGTTACAAAAAATAGCGCACAGTGCGCTTGTAACCATGCGCACACCTCAACAAGTACTAAAAACTATCTTAGTTGCTCACGATGCTACATCATACCCAGTTTTAAAGAAGATTCCCCAGCATCTGCATGCAGTTCCAGTATTTTACGGACCGGAAGAAGATTCCGGTCACAATGTTGTTGTTGTTGTTTCCGGCATCCGTGCCGGTTGGCAAGAACAACAACCCCAGCCCCAGTATTCAACCAAGACCTAGTGAAGAACAAAGCCTGGAGTATATGCTACATCATACTCAGTTTTAAAGAAGATTCCTCAGCATCTCCATGCAGTTCCTACCATATTCCAGTTTATTTACAGACTGGAAGAGTTTTCCAGTCGCATTGTTGTTTCCGGCATTCGTGTCGGAAAGCAATAACACCAACTCCAGTCCTAATTCCCCCAGTTGAGTGCAATTGCCTCAGCTGGATCCATCCCCAGTTCTCAAGGACCGGAAGCTCAGTGCTTTCCGSTCACGATTGCTGTTGTTTCCGACATCCGTGCCAGAAAGCAACAGCACCAACCCCAGTATTCAATCAAGACCTTTGCAGAACAATGTTTGGAGTATATGCTACATACATACTCAGTTTTCCCCAGCATCTCCATCATGCCGTTCCTACTATTCCAGTTTTTTACACAACAATAACTGACCATGAGGACCAGAAGCAACAAGTCAGCCACACCTCTGGCAAAGACAAAGGCACCAGTTCCTACTAAAAAGAAGGATGACAACAGTGTCAAATGCAGCACATGGCTAGAAAGCAGGGAGAGTTTGAGAGAAATGTCTAAGTACAGTGAGCAAAAAAGAAGCAAATTGTTCTCCTCTCAGCAACAAGCAAAGAAAAAGCATACTGGAAGGGAAACAAAAACAACAGCAACAAAACTACTAAGTAGAGTATCTTCTTGTCGTGATCGAGCAGACACAGCAACGCCAGCTCAAAAGCAAAACCACTAATCCAAAATCCATACAGCACAGCAAACAAGCAACAACATGAAGGCGCCAGCAAAAAAGAAATCAGCAACAAAGAAGAAAACAATTCAACCAGCACCAGCACTCATGTCAGCAGCTGCTGCTGCAGTCACATGCCATCAATCCAAAGAAGACAAAGCAAAGATCAAATACGCAAAGAAGCTGATTAACAATCCTAATGCCTTCAACACATTGGACAGCAATGCAAGGGTATGCAACAAAAAGGAAAGGATGCCTCAATCGCTTTGTTCAGACCATACTCAATGCTATAGACCCAGCCCAAAAAAAACTGGAGACAAACTAATGTTTGAGATGTTCACCAAGAAGGTTCCTATGAATGATGGATTAGCTGAAGAATATTTATTCTGCAAGAATGTTGCTGGTAAACCAGATGCACTCAAGAAGACTATAATGAATAAAGCTCTGATGATCTGCTGGACACTCAACATAAAGAACACAAAGACCAGAGAGGCCCTGGATACTAATACCCATTCAGTGTATGTTTGGGTGCTGTTCTCCTTGTTCCGCGAGAAGGGGATCAAGTTCAATGAAGGTGACTTCAAAGGGACTGGAATGTTTCTTAGTGCCATGGAGCTTGATTTCAAGTACAGGCCTTATGCCGACATGAAGGACTTGCTGAAGATAATGATCATGGAGCTGGATTGACAGTTTGGCCTCAGGGGAAGAGATGAAATTGTATTCCTTGAATGGAAGTTCACAAAGCTTGGTCAGTTCCCTCATGGTAAATTAGAGGGCAATAAATATGTTGTTATTGCTGCTCCAGGGGAGGCTTTGACAAGAGTAATCAGCTTGGCTTGAGCAATCCAGCTGTTAGTGAGATGTATCCAATAGTAGTCAAAGACAAAATCCATCCATCCTGTATTGTCAAGCTGATTAACTTCTATCCGCAGAGATGCCGTCCAACTCAAGAGAGATTCTTGTGCTATGTAAAGCAGAAGCAGACAAAGGATAGTCACTATAACTTCAAGGAAAAGATGCCATTTGGTCAGGATGTTGTTTGAAAGTGGGTTAATGAAATAGCCTTAGCTGCTGGATATAAGGACACAGAGAAGTTTAATCCTCATGATAACCAACATCGATGCTGTACTTTGATAGCATCCGATATGAATGTTCCTGAGAAGCTCAAGATGAATCATCCAGTTTTCTACAGCTGAAAAACTTATCTTGATTGTTATTTAACATCATAGAAATATTGAATATTGATTTGCTGGGGGAAGCAAGCAAAAAAGCAAGCAAACCATGTTGAAAGAAATCGATTAGGGTCCAATTGGATTGTACAGAGCCCCCGGGTCGAATCCGTTGTAGTGCATCCGTCCATCGAAAAAAATGGTGCTCCACCATGGTCGAAGCAGAATGGTGTCGTGGAACGCCAGATTCAGTGAATGGTTTTCGTGTTTCGCAGGAACGCAGCTCGTTTATCCGTCTACATTGAATAAAACACTATAATAAAATATAATGTATGGCTAAGACTACAGAGGGGTTTCGTTTGACATAAATATGGTTTTAGAATAGTTCGGTGCTTTGCTGCGGGAACCGCTGCAAGGAGGAACGTGATTTCTTCTTTTACGTGTAACAATAATAACTTTGTGCTGCCTCGATCCCATTTACATTTATTCCACGGCGTCGGCACAAACCGTGAGGCACTTGATTTCGAACAAATACTTAGTGGCCGGGGTTCCCTCGGGATGGGTCGGGTGGCAGCACTCGGGGACGACGGAGTTGTCGGACTCCGACAGGAGGTTGTGCTCGAGGGCATCGACGACCCAAAGCTCCAGCAAAGCAATCTTGCTGTGCTCGGTACACAGGATAGTGATGTCGACCGAATCAGTCACGGGGACGTCTTTGTCTTCGAAACACTTGTTGCTAAACCTGCCAATTTGGTACTGGTAAAACAAGGAGTCGACGGTGGCATCCGTGAAGGTCTGTGTCAACTTTACGGTCACAGTACCATCTTCCCGGCCAACCACGTAGAGACCACCCTCGGGGAATTCCGTGACTCCTTCTTGCTCCAAGAGGACGATGTCTTCTGGGCATTCAGATTCGTATACGATGTCGTTCGATTCATCGTCGTTTGTATGCCGATCGAGCTCGTGAGTGGGACTTTCAGTTTTTTCGTGAAAGGTTGTTCCCGTAGTGGGACTTTCACTGTGAAAGGTTGTTAGCGTAGTGGGACTTTCAGTTGATTCGCCAAAGGTTGGAACATAGGTTGGATACACCGATGGGCTGTCGGTCGGTTCAGGGGTGCACATGACGTCCTCTTCACAGGGAATGACCATTCGCCACGAACAAGCGTTCGGAATCACTTCATTGGGATTACAGGGGTGATTCACATCGTTCACTGGAATGTTGCTGTCGATGATCATCAAATCGACCACCGCAAGATAGGGTTCGCCGTCTCCCTCTGAGTGACACTGAACCATGATTTCGTCGCTACCAGCCAGGTCAATGGCATTACCATCTTCGCTATCACACTCGAATCCGTTACCGCCTCTGACGGAATTCACACCGTTGGAGTGAGAGAAAAGGATGACGTCTTGAGGTAGCGTTTTGGACCATACATTGTTGATTCGAAGACCAACTTCGGTGGTATTCTGTTGCTCGATAAAAATCATATCCTCGGAGAAAAAGCAAATGCCAGTATCGCTGCTGTCCTTCTTGACTAACTTGGGGTAGTCATAACACTCCGGCAACAAGAATGTCGGAGCGACGCTACTGGTCGGGGAGTCGGTTGGAGAGGTTGTGGGGATCTCAGTCGGCTTGTTCGTTGGCGACGAAGTTGGTGATGCCGTCGGAGACTTCGTAGGTGATGCCGTGGGAGAAAGAGTTGGCGATACCGTGGGGGAGACGGTGGGAGAAGTGGTTGGAGCGTCGGTAGGACTTTGACTTGGAGCTGGACTCTCGGTGGGGGATTCCGTTGGAGCAGAGCTCGGATAAAAACTTCCTGACGGATACTGACTTGGTGCAGCAGATGGTTCGGCTGTAGTCGGTTCGCTGGTAGGTGATGCAGACGGAAGGCGTGTGGGAAACGCAGTCGGGGAACCGGTTGGCTCCGAAGTACTAGGCTCTTGCGATGGCGAAGCAGTAGGTGTTTTTGTAGGTGTTTTTGTTGGAGTTTGGGTTGGCGATTTCGTTGGCGATGGGGTCTCGATGGTGAATTCGGGTTCTTCCGTCGGACTGCTGGATGGGACATCGGTAGGTTCCGAAGACGGTACATCCGTGGGGATAACACTCGGAGCCGTAGAACTAGTGGGCTGATCAGAGGGCTGATGGCTCGGTTCCGCGGTTGGCGGGTCCGTGTTCAAGATACAGAGCGACTTGAGGGCGTTGGACAACGCCTCCAGATCCAGGGCTTGGATTGGCAGAACACCAAGATCTTTTCCGGGATTGTTATCGATCATCCAGAGGGCAGATCCTTCCGCTACATTACTGGCATCGCCGACACCAATCGCCAATCGTTCGACTCTCAACTCAGTTAGCCTGTTGATCTCCGATTCGTATTGCGTTACGGCAGGACTGTTGATGCACTTGGTCATTCCGCGGACACATTCCTGGTACGGATTTCTAGGCACACATTCCGGATCATCTGCACGGCAGAAAGTGTGACGTACACCAGCTTCCAAATCTAAGTCGGCACATTGAACTTCGGCAGGAAATCCATTCGTAGGGTTTGAATTCCAGACACCAGCAGTGTCGGCACAATAACCTTCATCATCTCCGTCCTATCGGAGTGGTGGGATGATAGATAGCAGAAGATGAATTCCAAAAAAAGAGGACACAAATGATTGAGTTAGACGGAATACTTGGCTAGGACTCATGCTTTCACAAAGTAAGAGTTGAACGGTACTTACCCCACGAACATTTGGTTCCCCATCGGAAAGGAAGACGAGCAGATTTAAACGATCGGGGGTGGCTTCATATTCGAAGTAGTCACCGGCAAGATCCAACGCAGCATCGAAGTTAGTGAAGCCATTGTTGGTTAGTTGTACCTCCAAGTCACTAGTTGGGGCACGCAACTCTGTTTTGATGTAATGCATAAGTCTCGTGTTGATGCTGCTTTCGTCTTCGCTAAGGGGGAGGAAGGTACCATGGTTTGTGGCATCCGTATGGAATGAAATAAGGTTGATTTCGCAATTTCTGTTGCCGAGCGTTTCGCTCTCTAAGATAGCGACGAGCAACTCTTCAATGGCTTGAACCTGCGCATCCAAAATAGTATTCGCCTTTCCATCTCCGTTCACGTCGCCGATGTCGACCTCCGAAGAAAACAAATACAAATAGGTCGAATAGGAAAGATCGATGGCTAGGTCGATGTTGAGGCTTTCGCTATTCAGGTAGGACTCCCCACAGATAGTTGGTGACATTGTGGGGGAATTGCTTGGTTGGATACTCGATGTAGGACCCATCGATGGGCTTGCGGTTGGGCTTTCCGTACAATCCAATGGCGGGACTTGGTATAAATCACCGGAACTACTTGCAGCAACTGCATCTGTAAACTGTTGGGATCGAGAAAAGAAACGACGAGAAGGAGAGTGAGAGGCAAAGTGAAATCGTTGTTTGTGGCTGACAATTCAAAAATGCCTGTGGAAAACTTACATCCCTAGCAAGATAGGCTTGTGTTGCATCATCGCAGTTCCATAATCTATAAGAATTTCCACCTCCGATAGCCGATGGACGACCGGACGAACCGGATTGAAATTCCAACCATTGGTGCTGATAGTCGCTCCAAGAGACAAAAGCCCACGGGGAGTTCTCGTAGGTGTATGGCGGTTGTTCGTCCCAATACGACGGAATACCACAGCCAATGCCATCAAAATGGCACCACGAGTCCCAAACCTCGACGTCAGTGGTAACCCACATATCCTCCGCGCCATCCAAGACACCTTCGATGACGAACTCAAACTCCGAGCACTCGTGCGTATCCCTGATGTAGCAAGTCGCGTGCTTGAGCTCAAAGCAAAACAACCCTTCGTTCTCCACTTCCGTGCACGGCGGTCCTTCCGGATCGAAAACGATGGGATCCTCTGGCTCGATCAAAGGTGGCTCCGGACACGTCTCTGGTACCGAGGTGTCTATACTGTCATGCCTAAAGAACGAATAATCCGAGATCAAGTCTCCGAATTCGACTAGTCTCTCAAGATGTTCCGGGGAAGGGCACTCCCACAAGAGAGCTGGTTGGCTGTAATAATCCCAACCGAAACCGCGCCAGCCCCCAAAGCCATACACGTTGGTTGCTGACTCATATTCATCGTACGTGTAGACATCTGGACCGCGGATAGAACTAAAATGACCCACGCCACTAAACCTTGCCGGAGAAAAATCGGAAGCTAGTTGCGGGCACCCGTGCATCACGTTGGCGCACTCGCTGAACCACTCCATCACATGGGTGGTTCCCGTGTTCTCCCAGGAAACTCTCTGCGTCTCGGGGTAGTCGTCCGAGAACGCAATCTGGAAGGTTTTCACCCCGCAAATATCTTCGACGTAGCAGGTGGCCAACGGTTTGAAATCTTGAACATAGAATTCTTCATCGATACAGAACGATGGGCATGAGCACTTGAGGTAGTGGTTCGTCATGAAGATGTGATGAGCGTTCCAGCTATACATTGTACTCGACAGAAAGCCTTCAAAAGTAGAGTAACCTTCCCAGCTGCTAAAGGCGTATAGCAAATAAGGTTCGGCGCTGCCGTCCGATAATTCTTCGTTTGTGTTCAGCCCCACCGACGGGCCTGTGATTCTGATGCAGTAGTTCAAGGGGCACTCTGCATCTGCGATGTCGCTCTCATATTCAATGTCGTCAAACTCCGGCACAGCGTATCCAGAAAAAACGTACTCCTCGGGAGAAGCCTTGTAGCCGACTTCGTCCCACCCCTTCAAACTCGTTGCGGCCTGCTCGAACCAGTGGTTAACGTCCCGCATGATTACTGAAGAACCGGTTTCTGGGCTACTGAACTTGTATTCGCAATACTGGGACAGCTCAAATTCGTAGTCGTAATGGGTGAACGTTCTCCGATACCATGCGTAAGAATCGCCGTTGCAATAGTAGTTTTCATCGGGCAGGGGGCCAAGCAGACGCTCGCTGCCGTCCTTGGTTTCAATCGTGCCACACTTGGGGGCAGGCTCGTAGAAGTTAGATGGAGACGCCGAGGGCCACGGAAGGCCACCGTATTCCTCGGAAAGCCTGCTTGGTATCGAGCTGGGTTCCGCGGACGGACTCGTGGTGGGTTGCTTGGAAGGTTCACTGGTGGTCGGAGAAGCGGATGGTGTCTGTGTCGGAACCTTCGAGGGAGAGGCGCTGGGCGACGGCGTTTGAAAGAAAGACGCATCCAGTTGGCGACCGGATTTCGTGTCGGATTTCGTGCCGGATTTCGTGCCGGATTTCGTGCTGAGGTATTCTTCCATCACTGTTGATGGTAATGTTAAGAGCAGTAGCAGTATTGGCCATAAGCAATAATGGTAAGAGAGGAGTCAATGGGTTCGAAGAGCGAGCAGCGCAGCACGCACAAACAGCCACGTTACGTTGCTAGACAAGACGGCACACGCTATGGATTGCCTGATATAGTCTCACCTCTGTGGTCTTCCTCCATGGCCAGCTTTCTCTCGTGCATTTCCTTGAAGTTAACATCTGCCGACACGAGCGCCAGAGAGGCTGCGGCGATGCTGAGGAAAAAGCGGTTCATTTGTGGGTTCGTGAATGTGTTTGTTACAGACGTCTACGATACTTTGTGTTTTGAGTTAAGATATGCTACTACTGTACCAACGAGTGACTGACTCAGTGGCTGGTTTCTGTGTTGTTAATGCTGTTGATGCTGCTGTAGCTGATTCTCTTTACTAGTTTGAATCAGTTGCAGTAGACTGTTTTTATGGTAATTGGAATGTTAGGTTGCTCTGTTGTAGAAACGGCCTGCTGGTTTTTATGTTTGGTTTGAAAATGTACGCCGGTTTTACGGTCCATTGCGTGCAGCGGCGGTGGGGTGGGGTGTGCTTTGCTTGCGATTGCCTTCGCCTTGCACGCCTGGCCTCGTCTACGAATACCATGACCGGCATTGTGTCCGGGGCTTATTTCATATGGCCAGTCGAAATTTTGAAATGACTTTTTTCAATAGTATCCATTCGTGGTGGAATCATGCGCAGAAACGCCTTTCAATATCCATGACCAACAACCGTACGTACGGTACAGTAGTGAAACGGACGGTCATATATAAAGCTCTTCTCGTAACCTCCCCAGAGGAGATGTACCGTTGGTACCGCATGTATGCTACATCTAGGAGTCATTGATTACACAGTACCAAGTACAGTAAGTACGAGGTACTTCGAGTACGTACGGTACGAGCACTATGCAAGACAGAATACTTCTGTTTCTGATTTAGTCCAATCATGTTCTATCGTTTGTCCATGCGAACCTTATGAGCGCTTTAGGTACTTTAACCGTACTTCTACTATGTTTGGAAAGAACGAGGCTATTATTGTGTTCCACTGGGTACCAGAATGTGAAATTACGATTAGGGCCCAACCTTGTTGAAGTGGCCCTAGTAGTTAAAAGCGCTGTAGCGCGAGTGGAAGCTGCATTACAAAAGCCTGGAAGAACTACTGAAAAAAGGAGACGAAGTTGGTTCTGTAGGGTTCTTCAACTGACAAGATTCATCAATCATGGTCCACAGTCTACGGTTCTCTACGGTTCTATCGTATAAATTCTCAACAGTCACGTGTTGCTTGTGAAAAAATAATGTCTCTTCAGCAGGCAACAGTACCGTACGGTAGGTACCTTAGATCAAGCCCTGATCAGAGTCATGCAAGGCGAGAGTCATTCATGATAATGTCTCTCTATGGGTCATTGCAGGGAGGTGCGTCGTGTAAGATCATCCTTACTTCACCCGTATTTACTCGTAAAAACGAAGTAATGTGCCGTACCTGCCCTGAACTTTCTCGAACTGTATTTACATGCTGTGGCCTTATTTCAAGTTCGGTTAGCAATGGCAGTACCGTATGATAAAACTGTGGCGTCCCACGGTCCGCACGTGTGGAACAAACAGTCTGAAAATGTACTACTAGTACTAGTACGTACGAGTACTTTGTTGAGGTCAGAATTATTTTTGTGTGAAGAGGTTTGTATGGTACCGTACGTTCTTGAGCTAAAAAATACTTTAGCTCAAAAAATACTTTAGCTCTAGAACGCAACGTGGAAGAGTAATAATTATGACCGATGACAGTCAGAGGGTTTAATGACATACTACCAAACGCCAAAGCGACTTCGGAGGGATGACTTGGTTGCTACTTTTCTGCTCGTGCGTTGATTGGATAGATCACAGATACGTGGGTTCTACTACTATTAGTTGGTTTGGAAGGTTCTTTACTGGCCCCTCCAGAACCCACACCCGCATTCCCCCCTTTTTGAATTCCTCCACTGGAAAAATGTGGGCTATCTTTGGTGAAAAATATCCCAGCAGCACATTTTAGAATCATGGGTTATTTCATGGGAAAAATTTCCCACAAAATCATGCCCCCAACAATGATGTTCTTGGATTTCAAAGGGCCCGGCGGGGGATGTGCACGTGAACCTGCTGAGGGCCCTGGTGGTGGTTGTTGGGGTTGGGGGTTCTTGGGGGTTGGGTTTCTACTAATCTTGTTTCTAATTTCTCCTTGGATGCAAACGCAATCTAGTATGGTACTACTACTAGTACTACAAGAAGAAGTAGTAGTACTAGTAGTGGCAGTGCTACTTTTACTACTACTACTGGCTGGGAGCCCAATTGGTGCTGCTGGTGGTGACTTGTTGTTGTGTTTCTTCTTGTTGTTCTTCTTCTTACCACTACTACTTCTTGTTGCTCCTCCTGTTTGTTGATGTTGCTGTATGATTCTTTGTCTTGTTTGTCTCTTGTTGTTCTTGTTCATCCTCCTAGTTGTGGTTGTGCTGGTGGTGGTTTTTGTGGGAGTGAAGACTACTATCTAATAGAGATATATCAAGTGCTTTGAAGAAAAGTGAGTCATCCTCTTATTGAGAATCAACAAACTATGAAGAAGTCTAAAATCCATCAAAGTGGAAATTGAGTGATGCAGTGTGTGAATCAAATGAGTCAAATCAGTCATGAAGATCCATAGGACGATTGAGTGAATCATCACCAGTGTACAGTGGTGTATTTGGATCATAGTAGACATGCATCATAGGTATGAGTCATATATACCCTATAATATCCTGCAGAGGCAGAACACCCTCCCTTGATCTGTGATGAGTAATGTTGAACATATCATAGCAGAAAAGACAAGGAAGGATGATATCATCAATTTAGTGGTGTGGTGGTGGGAGCAAAGTGACCAAAGAGTCATCATATGACGTGTTGATTGCCAAATACCCAACCAAGAGATTTTGTGAGGGCATCAGCCCAGGTCATAGTGCTGTTGATGAACTTCATCTTGATCCATCAATTGTGTTTCCAATCTTTGATTGCAAAGAAATAGGAGGATATATCAGTGTGTCATGATCATTATGGTGTTGATACTCCTCTAGAGTTGACAATTTTGATGGTGGTACTAGAGGCATTATCCTTGCATAATGTTGTTGGTTTTTGTTAAGGAAATCCAACGTTGGAGATGCAGGAGAGGAGGGATGGTGAATAGAGGTATAGAATTTTTGTAGTGGAGATAGCAGCATAGAATTTGGCTTTGATAGGACTGAGGGCTGTTTGGGTTTAGGTTTGGGTTTCCATTTTGTAGACAATGGCAGAATTGGCTACCAGCAACATGATTGCAAATCCAGTTGTGAATTTACATTTGGGTTTTAGATTTCCATACACAGCATCAACAAGACATGTGATGGTTGAATCTGTAGGTAAAGATAGAAAAGGTGACAGTGGTTTGATAAATGCATTTATCATGAGTTGTTGGTATGAAGTTGAGCTCTGGTATTTTGTTGATATGCTCTTCCTAGTAAAGTTGACCATATTCAGGATTTCCTTGATGGATACTAGTAGTAGTACTAGTAGTAGTAGTGATGGTAATCATATTGATTCTTGCAGCACCAGAAGAACTACTACTGCTACTACGTCACACTACTACTACAAGTAAAAACAATGTTGATAGTGGTATTGTTACCAAAGAATATAGTATTACCTTTTTCTTTTTTTTGGCATATTACTCCATGTACTAGTACTAATGTCACAATGTTGGATATATTGAACAGTATAGGTACTACTACTAGTCCTATTTCTTATTACTGGCCACTGAAGAAGATTTATATAAGTACTAGTAGAGCTGTCCATAGGATATCATATCATAGAAATGACTCATACCTCCTATGATAACCTGTGGGAGTGACTATTTGATAGTAGAGATATGAATCAACAAGTGCTATGTCTGTTAACTGTTTCTCTACCAGTTTGTAGTACATGTTTGTAACTTAAAATTTTCAACTTGCAATCTAGTAACAGGATTGTTCTGTACCATGTTTGGTATGTACTAATAAATCAATTAAGCTTGTCAAATTGCTTTTCAACAGATTTGCCCATAAATTTAGAAAACTCCTCCCTTTATTCCTAATTTGACTAGTAATGTGATTTGATTGGAGTTTATAGTACAAACAAGCCAGATCCATGTTTCCCAAGAAAACTGGCCAGCTCAGCCATGAGATGTTGCAAACTCAAACACAAAGCAAGCACCAAGCACCCAGCACAACAAAACACGATAAGACACAACATGAAACTTGCAAAGCATACCATGGTAAATGGACATAGTACAAGATGATCTTCTAGCAGGAAAAACCATGCTACCCTGACTACAACAAGGGAAAACAAGAGACCTAAAATAGGAGTAGCAACAAAGAACAAAGATTGGAGGGTGGTACTTGTTCTCCAACCATCCCAACAAGAATTACCACTAGCTACTGCTACGACAATTGTTGATGGTAGTACCCCCAATGGAGTACTTCCTTCTTGTGCTGATTGTTTTGGTGGTGGCAAAACCTTTGGTTCCTGTGTTACCATGATGGAAGAGGAACAGAAGGAGTCTGAAGCCTTCAAGAAGGCCAAGGCTGATAATGATAGTAAAACCATTAGTATGGCTATTGCTGGGGACAGAAAGAAGGAAATTTCCAAAGTACTGCAATGAGAGGTATCCAAACAGTTAAAGGAGAGGCTCAAGAAATCTTGGTTTGCAAGCGTTAAGTTTCTGGGCAAGAACCTTGTTGTCCCTCACATTCAGAATGTCATTATGGAAAAGAATTATGTTGCCAAACTCATGGAAGTTACAACCCAAGATGTTGAAATAGGGCTCAAAAACAAAATTCCAAGAGGCTTGACAAGTTTGCAACACAATAGTCAAACTTTGGTCAGGAAAAACTGGTTAGGTAGGGCATTCTTATCTCAATCAGGAGAAAAAGTAAGAAGTAATTCACCTCCTGGCCCTCACCATTTATTTGTTCCTTGTCATTGTTTTTACAGCTGATAGGTTCCCTTTCCCCCAACAACATTGTTCCTGATAATTTTCCAGGAGCTGTTGGATTGGTGAACAACAAGGATTGCCCTGCTTTAGGATGGGCCATTTGTAAAGAGTATTGGCAACACAAGGAGGGATTGGCTGGTGGTGAAGCATTTTGTTATTAGTTTGTCACCAAAATATTGTCTGCCATCAGCCCAAGTTGCACTAGACTTAGGGAACAGGAAGGAAGTGAATTGACAGGCAACATATTCAGTGTTTCAGATGAGGCTTTTGGTGTTCTACTCCTGCACAACAAATTTCATCTTTGGGTGAACCACATCACAAGAATGTTGGACAAGAGTTTCCCAAAAAGAAAAAGATATTGCAATCCAAAAAGCCAACTTAAAGATGGTTGGAGCAAAGAAGGAAAAAATTGTTCTGACATCTTTGTCAGGAAAATTGAATCAAAACCAACCACAAAAGGGCAAGGTTATCAAGGAGTCAATACAAAAAAGTTTTTTGGAGGTGGATGGTGACATTGACATCAATAGCAATGATGGTACTAATGATGGTGAGGAGGAGTCAGATGATGAAGAATGCTACATCAACCCATTGATTAGGGATGAATGGGAAAACAACCAGGGTGAATTGGAATACACACAGGTCCAGGGGGTTTAAGATTATCTGTACTAATTCTCTTTTGCTGCCTTGTGCCTGAAAATCTTGGCCCCAGTGGTGCCAAATCTTGTGTGAACCATATCAGATTCACTGAACTCCAAAATATTATTTCAACTGATGCTTTTGAGAATGCAAAAGAATAGTAGCCAAAATTAAATAGGAGAATGGAAATTATTTATAAAAGAGTGGAATCTAATACACATATAATGTTGTTGAAACCTAAATGCATGAATCTTACTCAACCAGTTGAGCAGGAGAACCAAACATTGAAAATTCAATTGAAATAAACCAAAATATGATTAAAACTTGTACCATGGGATTCCAATGTAAACATTGACTCAACCACACCAAAAACAGAATTGAAAACAAACTGGGACTTCACTCAATGTTTCCTACTGCCATGGAAATAAAAAATAAAAATTGCACAAAAAATATCCAAACATGAATCAAAATAAATTGGCACATGACTTGAGATTTCAACAGCAGCCCTCCCATAACTTTCCAAATTAATTCTTGAGGACCCTTAACTCTTCCAAGAATTTTTTTAATTAAAAAAATGACAAGTGCAAAAGTAGTAAATCTGCTCAGGATTCTAAACCCACATATTATTTTCACTAACAAAAATATGTTCATTCATGGGTACAGAATAGTTACAAAGAATAAACAAAAAAATTAGGGGTCAAAAAAACAGTTAACGGACATGCAAGAAGCGCAAGTTGAAACAAGCCATGAAAAATGTAGCAAACATAAATTTGGCACTGCATTTCATACACTGATATTCAATCAGCACCTCACAAATCATGATCACCAGTAACAATAAGCTCCAAAGATTACAGAACTGGTGCATTGAAAATTCTTGTTGTCCTACTTCATGAAGGGGAGGAAGTAAGCAAAGGCCAATATAAACAGAGAAAAGATTGAGTGCTCACTCCTGCAAAGCAAACAAGCAAGAAGAAGAAGAAGAAGAGAGAGAGAGAGGAGAGAGCAGTTAACAAGCAAGAAACTGGAGAGGAAATCTGGAAACAACAGATACTATAATTATTTCATTAGTAGAAAACAAGCAAAGAGGATATCAATTGAATCTTAAACTTCTCACTAGCAGTAGTCCTCAATTGCTGCATTATCATGCCATTGCATGATAGTAGTACTACTATTTGAATGTCCAAAAAGTGGTCTAGAATGGTGATTATTAGTGAAGGCCCACAGAGGTGTTTGGTACTGTAGCTTACTATTTGTGTCTTTTCTTTTTGGAGAAGATGATGTCTTGACTGGATGTTGTGTAGTACTAGTAGTATTTGAGAATTCAAATAGCAGAGAGGATATTGTTCCTTTGTCATAGTACTACTTATGCTGGTGCTGATATCACCACCCCTTGCTGTCTGCTGCTGACAACCATCTATTGTTTCAGTACTAATAAATTGGAACAAATTGTTAGTATATTGACCACCACCAGGGAGTGCTGTGATTTGATGTGGCATCACTACTGCTACTCTAGTATAACAATAGTAGTAGTAGTAGTAGTACTAATAGTGGTACTACTACTACTACTACTAGTACTCAATTCACTCTTCAGATCTTAGCTTTGCTTTAAAGTACTAGTTGACAAAGGGATTGGAAACTGTATTGTTGTTGTCCCATTTTAATAGGTTTTTGAGAGGAAAATAAGAAGTTCATAAAATCAGGTTTCATCCATCTTCTTCCAAAAAGTAAGTACTAAAAGCACCAGAAGAGGATGCTAATTCATCTTCCAAAAAGAAGAAAAGGCTTAGGTCATAATTAGAAGTCAAAGATAGTTTCTTGAGGACACATAAATATATTTTGAGCCACAAAGAAGGGTAAAATTATTGCAAAAGATTAAGGAAGAAGAACAAGAAGACTTTCAATTTTGTCAATGTGAGAGCTGTTTTACTACTAGCAGAGAACTGACCTTCATCCTTGTTGCCAGTGCAGCACTTTCACTAGGATTCACCACCACCACAAGTAGTAGTAATAACACCCAGCAGCCTATCTGAAAATTTCACACAATGTGCTAGCCAATGTTTGGAATCAAAGAGATAGCATGAAAGTTAAAGCTGCAGTGTCATTAATACTCTCACAGTAGTAGTACTAGTACTAGTAGTAGTACTAGTTGTTGTTGTTGTATTCATTCTTGTAGTACCTGAGCTCATGAATTGAATTCAAATGGGCAGAGCTACTGTACTTGTTTAACTATTCAATTCAGGGAGGAGTTTTCACTATGAGGCAAGCAGGGGGTAGTACTATGTTGTTAGAACAGCATGAGTTTTATGAATGGAGCATGAGGACTCAAAGAGTGGATTCTTTTCTACTCAGGTAGCTTTTCTCTCACCAAAAAACACTTGAAGAATTATTTCAAGAAGACATCAAAAATGGAAGTGTTGTGTTGGCTGTGAGAGAGGGATAAATTCTTGCCGCTTTCCCACTGGTGGACAGAGAAAAAATACAAAGAGTTCAAGAGCCTGCAATGGTAGACCTTTCATACTGTGATGAGAATATGCAGATATTTGTGTTATCTTTTTGAAACTGTTTATCGGTGAAGACTGAAAATATTGATTTGGTATTACTTTCTTATCCATCACAGTTGTAGTGGTGGTCATGCCAAAGGAAACTGGTGGTGAAAGAATCACTTGTTCTACATAAAAACTAAGCGTTCCCATTCCTTATACGACCAGGTTGTCAACGCAACCACTGGTTCACAAATTATTTGAAGAGGGCAGAACATAACAAAGGAATCATTTTGCATCAGGATTGTCGCTGCCTCCGAATCAAGCCGTCGCCATAAACGGCAACTGCCCAATAATATTATGTTTCATTCTGTTAGAATACTAGTGTGTTTGAGGAGTACTCGTAGAAGCAGTAACTGCATGCAAAACAGTTTAATATTTTGTTAATGGCAGCAATATACCGTTGTGATGTTTCTAATGTACATTTTTGAGTGTTATGATTGTGTTCTGTTGTTACAAATACAGAATGATGGATACGGCCGCTGGCGATGTGTTCTCGTTCCCAAACGCAGGCAGACAAACCGGTAAAACATGCTAGGACTAGTGCTCGCAGTCAAGTAGCCTCCACCCCCCCAAGGACGGGGAACGCGATGCTTTGCGCTGCAGCGCCACACGGCCGACGCCGCAAGGTTGCGAACCGCCCCCATTTCGGGTGCGTTCCGGTTTCCCACCGTTGTCCCGATCGATCTACGCTACAAGCATTCCGTGCAGCGCGGGGCTGACCTTTGAAAAATCGTCCGTGAACATGGCGTCCAAGAGGTCGGGCTCGCTGTTGGGGCAGCCAAAGATGTCGTTCTTGAGGGTTTTGCGGAGGTATTTTGGACCGTAGAGCTTGCGCCGGTCCGTGATTTCGAGCTTGCACTGGAGATCCCTGGCGTAGATCATGGTGGCGCACACGTCGTTGAAGACGGCGAGGGATCCCTTGGGTCCCTTGATCTGGAAGAATTCGGCCTCCGGGGACCCGTAGGTCAGAAAATCGTGCAGGAAGGGGATTGTGTCGGAAAAGATGGCGTCCAGGAAATCCCATTCCTCCTTGGTGCGCTTTCGGTCCAGCTCGGTATCCTGCTTGTTCTGGGAGGGAATGACGATGCTAATTTCCACGCCGATGCTGTGCTTGATCCTGGAGAGTTCCTCGGAGAAGACGTTGAGGTCGTCACGGGGTGCAGTGACTTTTATTAGCTCAATCTCCCGGTAGAGAGGCTGTCTTGGCTCGTCGAATTTGCTGTTTTCGTCGGCGGACGACGTAAAGCTGTTGTAGAATGTTTCAAAAAAGGCTTCCATTTTTGTTGTTGTTGTTGTTTTGTGAGTGGTTGGCTTTTCTTTCTATGAGGTATAGTACTGGCTCGATTGCCTGTCTCTTTTCCTTGGAACAATTTTTCTGGAATCGAATACAATGAAATGCAACGCGATCTCCTTCCACTGCGTTCTGTGATTGTCCGGGTCGCGAAGATAGGACTTTTGGAACGATTGCCGAAAACAATATGTGTTCTAAGACCTCTTGTGTAGAGATGGGAACGTAGTGTTCAAGTTATGTGAATTATTTTTTTCTTTGAACTTGGACGTGAATTCTGTTCACACATCACCATTACAAAACTTCAAACGACGAGCAATGTCTGTTGAACACGAATGACACTATCGAGTGATAAACGACGCTTGCGAACTCGTGCTCCTTAGAATTCATTCCTCATCCAATCTTGCGTGGAAGAAAAATTGGGGAATGCTTTTCCTTTCCTTCCCTTCGTACGTATCTACGGAAAGATACCAAAGCGACGAAGAATCTTCCGCAGTCTCTCCCGGACGCAAAGATGTCACTTATCCTTCGAGAGAGAGAGAGAGAACATGCTTCTTCAACGACATATAAATGGAACCCATGTCCCTCCGAAGGGGACACGTGAAGGCTAGCAAAGATGCCGCTTCCCACGACAAGAGGTCTTGGGAACGGATGGAGGGACCTGGCGTGTCTTGTCGGATTGTTTGCCGGCGTCCCCCCGGAACGATTCGGTGGCGCGGCAGTGTCGTTCCCCGTACGAGTCCGCCCGTCTTTCCCGGCTAGCTAGCCTACTAGGAGCGGGCGTTGGGTCGTTTTTTCGGGAAATTCCTGCCCTTCCAAAATTGTTTGCGTTTCGTGCGTTGGTGGGCCGAAAACATAGCCGGGAACGAAAGCGCCGGATTCACGCTGCCCGTAGTTCGCGCGGGGCGAATCGGCACCGTGCCGTGCTATGCCTTTCGCGCATCCACGAAGGGCAATACGGGCACGGGTATTGTCATTGGCAGTTAGGGTTCGTACGGTGCGTACCTACCTTGTAGTGTATTGTGGAGTACAGTACGGTACGTACTTCTCACGGCGCGGCACACTCGATATCGTACCGTACTGTACCGTACGATGAAGGATCGGTGCTCATCGTATTCTTATCATCTATTATGACAAGTGTATGTACCGTACATATGTATCGTATGCAACCCATGCCAGATGCGCCTCGTAGCCTGCTCCGTAGACCCGGTCGGTGCCTTTTTTTGTTCGCGGAAGAGAGTGCAGGTTCGAAAACATGCCAACGGTCCCGCGTGCCGTTCCGTACCAAGCGTCGTGGCGTGGGACGGGACGCATCTCTCTCTAAACGTACCGTACTACTGTATTGCTTGACTAGTTCTTTCCTTTCAGTAGGGCAAGTACGGCACTGTACTGAACGGTGGTTGCGCTCTAGCCTAGCCTAGGGTTTCCCATTATTGTACGTACCTCACACGTACCACCGTTCCGTTCAATCGGCGTTGCGTTCGTTGGTTGCCTCTTCATCCCGTGCTGTACAGTACGCACGCAATCCTCCACTACGTAGGGAACTACGGTACGTAGTACGGTGGCACCGACTTGAAACAGTGGAAAAAGAAGAAACAGGGAATACAAGAACAAGAATCGAAACACGGAATTACGGTAAGTATCGTATTTCGGCGAAAACGATCGAAAAAGCACCTACGATACGATACTCCCACTCCGGTTCCGCTTGTTGGTTCTTCGCATTGCCTAGATCCAACCGAGGTACAGTACAATTCTAAGTATCGAGATTCCTTCAATTGCTATCGAGCCAGCGAGCAAAGCATCGCACCGCCATTCATAGACTAGGCTAGACTCCAGCCCGACACAGCACGGGCAGCACGCATCGGATTCATTACAACAGTACCGGTACAGCATCGAGACGAGCACACGCAAAACCATCGATTCGGTTGTCACTCGACAAGAGCTCAGAATTCAAACAAAGCTTCGTCGAAGACAGCAGTGCCAGGCAGAACACCATAGAACAATATCCATTTGCTCTTTGCCATAGAAACGAGAGCTTTTCTTCCAGCAACTCTACACCACAGGGATCGGCTGACGAAACGGAATCGAATCGAATCGAATCGAATCGAATCGAACAACGAACGCAATGTCCTTTCAAGACGTCGGGAGGAAATCCTCCAACCGCAAGGTTGTGAACGCGAGGATGGGCGCAGCATCGTCTTCTGCCTACAACAACAGTAACAGCAACAGTAGCACCAGCAACAACAGCTCGTCCGTCTTTGGGTCCATGTCTGCCCTCTCGGCGTCTACCGCCACCTCCCAGATCTCCGATTCCCTCACCCAATACCACGTACGTACCGCACGAGGCAATGCCTGTGTTTCAAACCCTGTGGTCGCTGTTTCACGGCGTGCTGTAACAGTAACGGCACAATATTCTCTGTCGAGACCCGTTCGAAGAGAACGGAACGGAACGGAACGAAACGAAACGAAACGAAACGAAACGAAACGAAACATTGATGTGACCCAAGGTTGCGTTTGCTCTGTATCGTTTTTGTTTTGCGATCCAATGAAAAACGTTCAATCCTATGGAAAAACGTGCCACTCGATTCATCGTGTCGGACTCGGAAATCAAAATCGATTTTCAAAGCAGCGTTGAGCAGATTATGAATTCGAAAGTTGGCGAATCGAATCAATCCAGGGAGAACAGGCAAAGGGTTGTTGCAGGCTTTGTTTCTTCGTTCGTCTCTTCTCTTTTTTCCTAGAGCGTGTGTGCTCACCAAACAACTTTCTTTTCTGTCCTTGTGACTTTTTCTCTTGCTGGATTTGCTGGCTCGTTTTCCGTAACGATTGTGGTTTCGCTTTCTTGTTCCCGCTTTCGACACGACACACGACACGACACACGACACGACACACGACACGACACGACGCAACAGCGAAACGTGGGGATCCTGGAAAAGATTGCGCGGTCGTTGCTGTCTTGCCAGACGAACCAAACGTCTACCCTCCAGCGGGACGAGCTCGAGCTCCAGTACAAGGCACAGACGGATGTCCTGAGGCAGCTCGAATCGCGTCTGAAGGAACAGATCCTGGCGCAGCGCCAGCGGTTGTCCTCGCAGTCGCAGACCAGCTCGCAAAAGCAGGCCCTGGCCAAGCTGGAACGAGATTTCGAGCGCGTCCAGTCGTCGGTCGTGGCCCTCAGGGCCAGGGTGACAAAGCAGCAGAAGCAATACCAGCAGCGTGGATACAACGGGGGTGGTGCCGGAAGCAACGCGGCCCCCGGGTCGGAGTACTCCAACAACGCCGCCAAGACGGCCCTCGAGCAGCAGCAGCTCCTGGTCCAGCAGGACCGCCTCCAGGAAGAAATCATGCGGGAGAGGGAGGAGGAAATCCGAAAGATCAACAAGGGGATGCACCAGGTCAACCAGATCTACAAGGACCTGGCGCACATTGTCGGAGAACAGCAAGAGCACGTGGACCAGATCGAGGACAAGATGGAGGAGTCGAAGACGGCCGCGCAGTCCGGTCTGGACCAGATCCACAAGGCAAACGAGAGCTACGGAACGAACGCAAACTGCAGCATTATGTAAGCGATGCAAGGGCATTGCAAAGCCCCGGCGCGGTCCGGAGTTTGAGGGTCTGTGCTCGGGAAGGAAGCATCGGTGGCATTGCACCAATCCCCCTGCGCTGCAACGGAACGGAACGGAATGGAACCGCACGCGGCACGCACAAAGCGATGGGGCGATGCAATGCGATGCCACAAACCACGCAGTCGCGCATGCGCATGTACGTGTGTGTACGAGTCTCTTCCGGAACCGTGGCATGGCATCGTCGCGTCGCGTCGATTTTCGATCGGGTGGGCAGAATCGAATCGAATCGAATCGAATCGAACACACGCTGTCGCTGCGGGCATTGTTCTCTCTGCTTGCGGTCCGAATGGATCTCGACTCCCTTGCTGCCGCCAGAGCAAACGATTGCAAAGAACCAACGAATCAAATCGAATCGAAGACAGAAACCGATTGATTTCATTGGCATGTTTTTTACTCTGAACAAATCGATCGATGCAAAGAGGTGCACATGCATCGTCGATGGACCGCAAGCGAAAAAGCAAAATTATTTCGAATCGATTGGATCTGATCTGGTTTTGGCAGTGGGTTGGTTTTGAGTTGGGTTGGGTTGGGCTGGGCTGGGGTGGGTCGGGTTGACTGTGGTGCTGTGCGATGCGATGCAACGGCGTCAAGGCAGGAGCGTCGGTCGATCCATCCATCCATCCAGCCAACACGATGCCCACCTACCCTAACCGTGTAATACTAGTACTATTTTTGAAGCATTATTGTGAATTTAGCTATTCCATTGGATTCCATTGGAACGTGGTTGTCGAACCGTTGCACCAAGATGCAACTTATATTTCTTTCGCTGCGAGCAGTGACGTTGCGATTGGGTAGCAAAATGATACCGATTGCGTCCGTGCTGCCGATAGGGACGGGTATTTTTCTTTCGCTGCGAGCCATGCAATTGCGCTCGCTTCGCTTTCGAGGCCCCATTTCTTGTCCTTTCGTCCGTCCATGGCCTCCATCCGGACTACCCGATACGCAGGGGCAGGAAACGAAACGAAACGAACCGAACCGAAACGAACCGAAACGAACCGGCGGATGGATTGGACCGTTGCGCTATTTGTTTGGCACGATCGCGGGCGGTTGCTCCCGGCTGCCGTACCATGCCGTGCCACAATCCAATCGTCCACGGAGACAACGCGAATGGACGATTCTCTGGAACAGGTGTTGTGCGTGCGTGCGTGCGTGCTGCGAAACGAAACTAAAATCACTGGTGCTGCTGCGAAGCGAAGCGAAACGAAACTAAAATCACTGGTGCTACTACTACTGTATTCGTTATAAAAAATATATTGCGGGTTCTCAACGGCACGGGCCGTCGTTCTCCATCCACACCGCGTCCTTCTCTTGGTATGGAACGGAACGGAACGGTATGGTATGGAACGAAATGGCCCGTCGTTCGTTCGTTCGTTCGTTCGTTCTCCGGTTGGCTAGGACCGGACAAACTCCACGGCCTCCCAGTGCCTCTCGTCGAGGGCGGCCGGCACCGGTGGCGCTTGTTCCTCGTCGATCATGCTGTTGTGGTCGCCTTCGCTGTCGCTGTCGCCCTTGCTTTCGCCATAGCCCTCGGCGCACAGCTCGATGCCCTCCTCGGTCGCCTCTCCTTGTTGTTCGGGGATCGGTTTCCTTTTGTGGCGCTCCCCGGTCCTCCCCCAGAGGGGCAGGCCGGCCCGGCAGGAAGACCCGTCGTGGACGCAGTGCGTCTCGACGGAGGCCACCCCCCGGAGGGTCTGGTTCTTGTGGTGGTGGTGGTAGGCCTCGCTGGACCCGCAGGCCAGCAGGGCCCGGAGGCGCTGCAGGAAGGTGGCGGGAAGCTCCTTTTTCGAGGGAGAAACGTGGTGGTTTTCCCCGGCCCGGACCATTCGGGTCCGGAGCCGGCCCAGGGTGTTGGCCCCGCCCTGCGGGGGGTGTTGTTGGTGTTGGTGTTGTTGGCCCAGGCTGTGGGCGCAAAAGCTCGAGTCGGCGGAGGTCGTTTCGCCGGCGTCGTCGGTGCCTTCGTGGTGGAAGGCCTTGCTTCCCAAAGGCAAGACCTCGTCCCCGGTGTCGGTGTCGGTGTCGCTGCCGTGGCGGTGGTAGATCTTGCAGGCCGCCGCCAGAGTTGCAGTTGCAGTGGCAGTGGCATTCGCAGTGGCATTCGCAGTTGCATTGACAGTTGCAGTTGCGGTTGCATCCACACCCGCACCAAAGCTCTCGCTTCCGCGTTCGCCGCCCTCTTGCGCGGGCCCCCTGCCCGCCATTGCCGACAGGCCGAGGAGCAGGTAGGCCAGCGCCGATCCCAGGGCGAACCAGGCACCGGAAGCCGGGCGGCAGGAACCGGTGGGGGAGAGGCAGGACGACCAGGGCGTGGTGGAATCGCCATCGCCATCGCCATCGCCGTCATAGCCTCCGCCCTCCATCAGGGGGGCGAGGCCGAGAAAGAGGCCCCCGAGGAGCTGGAGGACGCAGGCACCCAGGAAGAGCTGCAGCGAGAGGAGGTCCCGGGGCCTTTTGGTGGTGGTGGTTCCTTTTTCCGGGAGAAAGCACCCGCAGAACCACTGTAGGGCCAGCTTGGCAAAGGCCAGGGAGGCCAGCACCGGTGCCAGGACCGAGGAGGTCCGGGCCGCCACCATCCAGGCCGCTCCGGGGGGGGAGGATTTGGTGTTGGTTTTGTTGCCATTGCTTTTGCTGTCGTTGCTGTTGTTGCTGTTGTTATTATTGCTGTTGCTGTTGTCGTTGCTGTCGTGGTGGCCGTCCGGGCCCAACAGCGATCCGTAGCCGAAGGGTCCCCCTTCGTACGGGAGGCAGACGGCCCCCCCCTGCCAGCCCCCGCCTCCTCCTCCCGCGGCGACCGAATAGGAAAAGAACCCGATGCCCACGAAAGGTTTTTCGACCGAGGCCTCGATGCTCCCGTAGGTACCCGTGTTTCCACCGAGGCTTCCGCCCCGGCTTGTTGTTGTTGTTGTTGCTCCACCGGCGCCTCCCCCCAGGGACAAAAAGAGGCACGAATCCAGGGCCATGATGGACGAGGCAATGGCGGTCCCGGCCAGGACGTGGCGGCAAAAGTGGGGGACCGAGTCCACGACCGCTTGCCTCTGGCGGAGCCGCTTTCGGTTGGCGCTGGCGCTGGCGTTGGCACTGGCGCTGGCGTTGGTGTGGGTCCGCGTCCGTGTCCGTGTGTGCTGCTGTTGCGTCCTCCCGGCCGGCCCGGAAGGCTTTCTTCCGAAGCGGTTCCCGCTGTGGAGAATGCTTCGGGTCCGGCTGGGAGCGGCAACAGCAACAGCAACAGCAACAGCAGCATCTCGCGCCGCATCGTTGGGTTGTTGTTTCTGTTGTTGTTGTGGTTGTGGTTCCGCTTTCGAATCGGTCGGCTGCCGGTCCTCCCACTTCGGCTGGTTGCCTTCCTCCTCGTCCGACGAGACCGGGACCACAATGGTTCCGTCGGCCCGCATCGCTTCGAGGTTAGGTTCGTTTCGTTTCGCTTCGCTTCGTTTCGTTTCGTTTCGTTTCGTTTCGTTTCGTTTCGTTTCGTTTCGTTTCGTTTCGTTTCGTTTCGGAGCCTTCTTCACGCTCTCTCTCTCGGGTCGGGTTCCCACTCGCGTCCGGCCCCGCTGTTGTGGTGTTTTGGTTCTTGCCCCTGCCCAAGCGTGCGCGGACTCGGGGTTTCTTGTGTTGTGTTGTGGTGTGGTGTGCTGGGGTGTGCTACCCTACAACGAGGTTGTTCTGTGTTGTTGTGGGTGGTGGTGGTGATATTTGTTTCGTGTTGGCAGGGCTGCTTCGGTCGGCGTTTTTGGGGTCGGAGTGGATTGCCTCCGAGGCGGGGTTTCTGTTTCTGTTTCTATATCTGTTTCTGTTTCGTGGTTCTTGCAAAGGATTGTTGTGTTCGGGATTGAGGATTGTTCCGGGCACGGTTAGTTAGCGGTCGGCCCCACCCGCGGTGCTAGTACGGGTACACGGCGTGGGCAGAGAGGGAGCCCATCGCCCCCGGATTCCTTCCGTCCCATCGGCGATGGACGATCGGCGAGGGGGGGTTCGCCGAACACACATAGGTGCCTTCCTGCCCGTAGGCCGCAACACTCCGAAGGTCGCCTTCGGTACGGGACCCGATCGGTTCCCAGGGGCACGGAGTATCGCCCGGAAATCGTGCGCGATCCGCGCGGCGTGTCGGCGGTCGCCGGCGGTTGCGTGGGTCGTCCCAAAGGTATGTTCTTACCTAATTAGGTACGTACGTACCGGCACGTATGTTCCTGTCCTCACAGTTATGTTGTACGAAGTACAACGTACTGAGTACTGAGTTCGTACAATACAGTGCAACGACCAAAATCAACAACAACACGAAATCTGGAAAGACGGTTCTTCTCTTGGTTGAAGACAAAAGGGGGGGGGGAACTACGGTACAAAAAGAAAACACGAGGCACGAAGCGAAGCGAAACACGATCGATGCTTTGCTTGGCTACGGTACGTAATAATACCGTACATATCGTACATACAGAGCGTACCGCAGGGTTTTGGTACTACCAGGTACAATACACAATACGGTACGAACGAAGAACGAAAAAATGAAAAAATAATATTCCCCCACGCGTTCCGCGGACCGATTGGATTCCGTTTTTGTTTCTTGCGACCATCGAGAATCTTTCCCGGGCGAAGCCAAAAGCAAAGCCAAAAGCAAAGCAAAGCATACAGTAGCAAAGCAAAGCAACAAACAATCACAAAAGAGAACGAGAAACCGTAACAGTAACTGTTACCCTTCCGACCGAAACGATCGGACACAGACGAGGACGAGGACAAGGACAAAGCCACAATTCTAGCGGCTCTTGTTTCTTTTACACAACTAGCTACCAACACCGTGTCTATATCATCTCCAACCACCAGAACAAATCGGCAGCGTAGCGAATAACAATAGATACCGATTGATCGAATCGTCGCTGGCCTTGTGCTTCCCGTCTGTTGCCATTCGTTGAAGCGGTGCATTGTGTTGTGTTGCAGGCCATCGAAGCCCAAAAGACAAACATCCCCCTGTTCCGTCCTTTCCGATTCGATCCCGCTCGATCCCAGCCCAGCCAAGCCCAGCCAAGCCAAGCGCCGCCATGAGCCCTCCCGGAGATGGGTCCAACGAGAAGGCAGCCGCAAGCGAGAAGGCAACCGCAACCGCAAACGAAGCCACCACGTCGGGGAGCCTCCGGGACACGGGAGTCTTCGTCGGCGGGCCCGGGAGCCTCCTCCCGGCCGCCCTCGAGTCCTCCCTCTCGTGGGCCCTGGCGGTGGGATGCCTGGGCGTCGCCCTCTGGCACTCGCTGGCGGACCGGAAGGGGACGCCTATGCATCTGCATCTGCATATGCATATGCATCTGCATCTGCACGCGCACACGCACCGCGGCCTCTTTTCGTGGTTCCGGTCCCGGATCCGCTCGCTCCGGCGCAGCAGCGGCGCGAGGGGCATCGTTCGCGGCGGCGGAAGCAGCGGCGCGAGCGGAAGAAGCCAGAGCCCCCCCCCGCTCCTGCCCGCACACGGAGACGACGGAAGCGAACCGGAAGAAGACCAAAGCCGAGACCAAGACCAAGACCAAGACGAAAACGAAAACGAAGACGAAGACGAACTCCAACCAAAAGAACCCCTTCCGCGACAGCCAAAGGAGGAAGAACCACCCACGGCGGGGGACCGCGGCTGCCCCTTTTCCCGGTCGCATCCGCATCCGCAACCCGCAGAACAACCAAAACCAAAACCACAACCACAAAACCGAAAACACCAACCACAAACACAAGCACAAGCACAACCACCGGAGCCGCGCCTGATTCCTCTCACCACCCACAGCCGGAGGGAATGGTCGACCGTTTCGGAATCCTACGAAGGCTTTCGAGACCGCTACCTCCAGCTGGTTCGGATCCTACGGCAGCAGCAGCAGCAGCAGCAGCAACAGCAACAGCAACAGCAACAGCAGCAGCAACAGCAACAGCAACAGCAACAGCAACAGCAACAGCAACAGCAACAGCAGCAGCACCGGCAGGGAAGCAGCACCCATGGAAGGGAGGCTCCCCCGGAGGAACGGGAAACCGGAGCGGACTCCTCCCACCTCGTCGGCCTGGTCCGGAACCACGACGCCGCCAAGCGGCTGGCCTCCCTGCTGCTGGCCGACGACCCCATCGACCGCCTCCCGTGCCAAGGCAACGGCCAAGGCAACGGCCAAGGCAACGGCCAAAGCCATGGCCAAGGCAACGGCCAAGGCAACGGCCAAAGCCACCACCGCTTGGTTTCCAAAAACGCGCAAAAGAAGGAGTGGTGTTTCCGCCTCTGCGCCGAGGACGCGGGGGCAGGGGACCTCCTGCGGACCCTAAAGGGGGCCTGGGAAAGGCTTCTGGAGCTCCCCCCGGAAGACCACGAGGCAGGAGACGGCGGCCAGGACAACGGCAGCGGCGAGAGCAACAAACCTCCGACGCTCTCCGTTGTCGTTCCTGCCTTTCGCGAGGACGGAGCGTTGCTGGCCTCCAAGCTCGGGGCCTCTCTGCGGAAGACCACCCTTTGGTCCTCCACCGGCAACGGCAATGGCAATGGCAATGGCAATGGCAATGGCAATGGCAATGGCAATGGCAATGGCAACAACAGCAGCATCAATGGCAATGCCAACGGCAATGCCAGTAACCATGCGCACCCGCGGAACGGAACGGTCCGAAGCATCGAGGTGGTCGTCGTCCGTGTTGCGGAAGAAGGGGCGGACCACTCTTCCGACACGAAAGCCCACGAGGCCTTCGAAACCGCCCTGCGGGAGGGGCTCGCCGGCCACTGCCACAGCAACAATAACAACAGCGGCAGCAGGGAACGCCGTGTCGTGCTCCGGGTCCTCCGGTACACCGGCGGCGGGGGCCGGGGGCCCTGCCTCAACTACGGAGCCCGCCACGCCTCCGGAACCGTTCTGGTCTTTCTGCACGCCGACACGAGGCTCGCCACGGAGGGATGGGACGCCGCGGTGGCAAGGACCCTGCTGCCGGCGAGGCGATCCGAGAGACCCGGGCAGGACCAACAACAGCAGCAGAAGCAGCAGCAGCAGCAACAACAACAACAACAACCGCCACGGGAAACCGCAAGGGCGATTTGCTGCGCCTTTTCCTTTGCCATCGACACCTCGCCGGAGGCCCTGCGCGTGGCAACGCCCGGCGGTGGCATCAAAACCGAGCGGGACAGCGGCAGCGGAAACGGTTCTTTGCGTTTGCAATCGCAATCGCACTCGCACTCGCAATCGCATTCGTACTACTACCCACCGGGACTCAGGGCCATCGAGGTGACCGCCAACCTCCGCACACGGTGGTTCTCTCTCCCCTACGGAGACCAGTGCCTCTGCCTCACGGCCCGTGTCTTTGAGCACGTGGGAGGATTCCCGGACCAGTGCCTGATGGAGGACTACGAGCTGGTCCGGTACCTGCGGACGCGGTGCACCGAGAGCCACCGCCGGTCGTTTGCGGCGACGCAAAAAGGAGGGGGGGGACCCTTCGAAGCCACCGAACGCATCGCCGTGCTCTCCGGGCATTCCGCCGTCTGCAGCCCGCGGCGGTGGCAGAAGCACGGCGTCCTCTTTGTCACCTACACCAACTCGCGCTGCGTGGGCCGGTACAACGACGGATCGGTCTCGCCCGGGGAGCTCTTTTGCGAGTACTACGGGACGGAACGCCCCCCGGCCCGTTCCGGTGGGGAGGAGAGCCCCTGGGAAAAGGGGATACCCCCGCCCACCGGCTTCGCCTAGCCGAAACGGAGGGAGGAGGAACCGGGGGGTGTTGCCCGGTTTCCCGTCCGTTCGACCGTGCTGCCTGCGCACGCTCGGAACGCCGGGATCGGGAGCGGGGGCATCGCCGTCGCGTGCTCGGTCGGATCTGCCACGCACACTCCGGTAGAGTGCATTGCCTGGATTTCCAAGCAACGATGCATGCATGCGGTGTTGTATTGTCGGCATTGCCGCAAAGCACGGACCGAAACGCACACTGCCCGCTGGCGACAATCCACCACCCTCGAAGGCGCAAAGGAGATTGATGGTACCAGTCAGTCCCTGCAGTGTAGAGAGTCCGTGTTCGAAACTGCTTGCTAAAAAAAACCTCAATGGGAAAGTTCGCTGTTCTTGGAATTTCCGGCAATGATTTTGTAATTTATCGAATGCGCGTGTACGTCGACATTCGAGACTCCTAAATAAAAAAATGATGCGTCTTTTGTATCATTTGCGGCAATGGTTTCATAATTTACTGCATCGGTATATATGCCAACGTTCGAGACTACTTCTACTAATTAGTAGTACAAAATAATATCTCACTTGGAATTGGTCGTTCTTATCGTTTCTGGCAATGATTTTATAATTTATTGTATGGGCGTGTAGTGTATGATGATGGTATGATAACAACTTCTTCCATGGGATTTTTGGGGAAGAGAGTGAAAATTGTGCGTTGGAGACAGCAGCTGCATTGATGTTTTTTTACAGTAGATCTAGTTCGCGCTTGTCTCTAATTGTTTTGTGTGTATGTGTGTGTCCTAATTGGTGCGATGGTCACGATGACGAACGAGAGAGCGAGATACTGCCGGGTGATGCCGGTTTACAGCAATCTGGTGTTGGGATCCGTGGGATCTTGTGAAACTCTGAACGCCTTGTCGTTGCGCCTCTTTCGCTGTGCCGCTTGCTCCGGGGAGAGACCGCCGCCACGACGACGTTGTTGCTCCCGTTGTTGTTGCAGGCCGTTGCTGCTGATCTTGAGGCGAACATTTTTGCTACCGTAGATGCCCCATTGGTTGTCTGGCTCTTCCATGATTCTGGGTTTCTCCCCCGTCCGTTGTTCCAATTCGAAAGAAAGAATGTTGAGAAGTTCGTCCCATTCCCGAGCAGCCTTAGGTGGGGCGCTTCGAAGGTCCATTTCCACCTGGCATCCCTTGTGTTGCAAATAGGTGACCACGACGTTTCTCAAAAAGGCCACGTTCGCCGGTTTGAGCCACGAGAAAAGGGGAGAATACTTGACAATCAACAAGCTTTCCAGTTCCTTATCAAAGTGCGGTTGGGGTCCAGCCTTCAAAGTCTCCTTGAGAAAGTGCTCAATCTTTTTGTCGACCATTGGGTTTGGAGGAGGTGGTTCCGAAAGACCAGCTCGGCGTTCATTCGCGCCTMCTGCTCTTCGTTGTTGTTGTTGCTGTTGGCCCATTTGTCCCTGATTGGCAGGGACCCGACGCCTTTCTCGCTGCTGCGCCTGGGGCGATCCGCGTCGGTCCACGGCTCCACCCATACCTCCTCCGCCTCCTTCGAAGATACTGTTGTTTGGCAGTTGCTCATCGCCCTTAAAGGATCGCATATTGCTCAAACCCTTCCGCACAGACGAGTCATTCGAGATGTCATACGCCAACTCATCTTGCTCGCTTCCAAAGGGTCCTCCACGACGGGGATCGTATCTTCCAGCAGGGCTTCCAGGTCTACGGGGTGGAGGTCCCATGGCCTCAGGTGGCGCTACAGGATCGCGCCTCATCATTCGCTCGTGTTGCATTCGACGTTCCTCTTCGGGATCCATTCTCATGTTTCGGTCGGTTTCTTCGTCGTCAAAGTTTTCGTCGTTCAAGTTTCGGCGCGGACCTGCACCCACATTTCGGCTGTAGAGTTCTTCTTCACTGGCTTTGCCCAATCGATCACGAAGCATGCTTCGTCGTGGAGCTTCATCTTCAACTTCTTGCTTCTCGTCCACCTCATCGAATCTAGGCTGTCTCATGCCATCAAATTCGTTCCGAGAACCTTCATTGAATCGCGATTTTGGTGAACCTTGTCGATCTTGCTGTTGTCGGTACTCATGCATCTGTTGGTCTAGCGGTGAAGCAAAGGGGGGAGGAGGTGGAGCTCCATCTCTTCCTCTTTGAGGCGAATGAGGATCTTCGTGGCTACCACGGCCACCCTTCATGTGCAACTCTTCCTGTCGCTGCATATCGCGCAATTGTTCCAACAATTCTTCCTTGCGTGCTTGCGCTTCATTCAAGCGTTGTTGAAGCTGGCGTTCGGTTTCGTCCATTGGACGTTGCGGATTGTTCTGCTGGTTCATGTAATCAGGACTGCTGGTATCCATCGAGCCGGTGCCATTGTTTCTAGCTCCAGATGATTGTTGGTAGTCTCGCAAGGCGTTCTCGAGTTTTTGGCTTTGCTCGTCTTCAAAGGCTGCCATTCGTTCAATCTGAGATCGCTCAAAGTTTGACATTCGTTCGTTCTGTCTGCGCTCTAGCTCAAAGTTGTTTACACCGGGGCTTCCGGCAGGACCATTGTTGCCTCCCGAAGCCGCATGTCGCTCCAGGGCATCTATGCGCTGCGCTTGGGCTTCACCCGCTTGAACCAAATTTTCTTCCATGTTTTGAGCTCGAATGGAAGTTGTTTTTTCTAACGAGAGGAGTTTCTCTGCTTGCTCGGAGCGAGCCTGCTCCAAACTGGCAAACTTGTTCGTTTGATCTTGTTGTTTTTGTTGGAGGCCTCGCTGCTCATCAAGGACCCTATCCATGGTCGATCTCATGCCACGGATATCTCCATTGATACGGTTCATGAAGGTTTCTTGTGTCTTCTTGTTTTCCTCCTTGAACGAATTCAGCATTGCCTGAGTTCGGTCGATGTTTTCTTGGGTGGTTCTGTCGATTCTTTCATCCACTCTATCCAAACGCTCAGAAAATTCCTGTTGCTGGGTTAAGACCTGATCGAGACGGCCAACCAATTCTTCCGAGGGAAGTCCAATGTCCAACTTTTGGTTAGGTGTTCCGACCCGTGCCAATGGAGCTGAAAGAGGTGGGGCAATATTAGGACCTTGCTGCTGAAAAGACGTCGTCGTAGATGTTGTGGTTGTTGAAGCAGACGTCGATCTTTGCGGTTGGGTCCCCATTCCGGGCATAGGCGGTTGAAAATCGGGGCGACCGTTGGACGCATTTGCGGAGCCCGGAAGGTTTGCGGACCGAACGCTCCCGTTCTCTAGCGATGATGGAGACATGTAKGGGGGAAGCGGTGCGCTTGGGTCTGCTGCAGCGGCGATACTAGAACTTAGGTTGCCGCCGGTACTGCCAGGAGAAGCAGGCGATCCTGGAAAGGAAGGAGACGAGTTGCTGTTGTCATTATTGCTGTTTCGATTATTCATGTATGATTCAAACGAATTGGATTGGGGAGCTGATGGTGGCGGCGAGGAGGGATTTCCTCCGGGCGGAAAGCTGGTTCCCGAAGAATTCGTCGTGGATGGTGCACCGAAATTGTTGTTCGTCGTGGTTGGAGCTCCAAAATTGTTGTTCGTCGTGGATGGCGCTCCAAAATTGTTGTTGCTTGTGGATTGGGGAGGAGAGTAGCTGTTGGCATTTGGAACAGCCGGTGGTGGTGTCGAAGGCGCGCCAAAGTTGCTGGTAGAGGAAGGCGCTCCAAAGTTGGCGCTGCTGCTTCCCTGGGTTGGTGTGGACGGTGGCGTTCCAAAGTTGTTGTTGGTGTTGTTGTTTAGGGTGCTGTGGCTCCCGTTGGATCCTCCTGAAGCTGCATAATTAGCAAACGAGTTGTTCGAGGCCGGTGATGTTGGCGTAGACGGCGGAGCTCCAAAGTTGTTGTTGTTGTTATTAGCAGTCGGCGTTGATGTGGATGGCGCGCCAAAATTATTATTAGACGATTGTCTGGGGGCATAACCATCGGAAGGAGATGAAGGATTGCTCTTGTTGTTGCGTCCTTGCATGTATGCCTCAAAGGAATTAGCAGTCTTATCCCTTGCATAACTATTGTCATGAATGTGACTATTGTTGGCGGCGATTTCCTTGTCGACTTTTCCGGGAGGCCCGTAGGAATAGTTGGTCTCATCATTGTTTTCCGGTTTTCCGTACGAACCGAATGGATGACCCGAATACGACGAATTTGGTGAGCCGGGCGCGGTCATCGGTCGTTCGATAGTGCTCATATGGAGTGAAGAGGGGGGCATTGTCGTGATGGACAAGCCAGAGTGCCTGAATCTCTGCAGTGTAAAGGCTTCGGCCGTGTTTGATGTTTCTGCCATCCAAAGCGCCAAAACGGCACCTGATAATACGAGTCTCATTGTTTTTAAAATTCGTATCAAATAAGTTTCTGAAATTCAATGCTTTCTTCCACAGTTTAATTCTTTAAACCCGGCAGCGTCTTCAATAGAAAAACTAGAACGGGTTTGATTGATTGCTGATATCTACCGATCTGTCTTTGGTGAACAGAAAGACACAGACTTGAGGTATTGTATTATTTTTATGATTCAAACGATCAAGAGATTTTTTTCCCGCCCCAAGCATCCTTCAATAACATGTTCTCTAAGGAATTCCCTTGATGTCATCATGAGCATCAGAATGACGTGAAATTCAATTTTTAGCCAGAACGAACGGATATGTGCAACTCGGAATTTTCATTGGCCGCGTCATATCTTTTTGCGATCTGAAATCGCTTGAATTGAAACGGTGGTTCGCCGTCGCCTGCCAAGCGAGCTGGGCGGTGCAAAAACCAAACGAGGATCTGCGTAAATAGAGGAATCTGAGATAAATCGTGACTCGCTGGCTCGAGCATTCCCGTTTGGATCGACCAGCGCCCTGACGTGTACGGTTCAAAAAAGAGAGTGACGCACTTCTGGGCCAATCGCTGAATTGCAAGCCTTACACATACTACATGCAAAAGTCCTCTTTGACGACGTACTCTTACTATTATATCTGCGTACCTGTTAGTCCAGTATGAGGACACGTATCTTAGTAAAACGATAATTCAAATTCCACGGGAGGATCAACGCATCTCGCCAAAGATGTGCTTTTTTTAAAAAAAGGGCTACGACGATTGAAAACACGCGTGATTCCATGGTTCTTTCCTTGTCTTGTCATGTGTCCACGTAACACCAGTACAAGTAGTTTGTACCCAGCCGATGTAGCCAGCCAATAATTACGAGAGGGTTAGCAGTATAACAGCATTGCCTCGACAGACATGCCGTTTGAAATCAAACGTTCGCGCTGCAACGACTTCCTCACTTCACTACTGCAGTGCCAACTTCAAGTCAGCAAACTTGCAAGCTGGTTCACAAGTAGACAAGAGATCGACAGACACTTTCCATAGCTCCGTTATCGAAGTAGAGGAGATCCCAATCGGTAGCAGTATACCACCGATACGTCAAATGAGTCGGTTAACAGCAATAACAATTCTGGGTCTCGCCTCCACGGCTCCTTCGGGAGTCGAATCGTTCTCTAGTCTAGCGACAAGAAAGGCTTCTCCTGCCTTGTATAAATCGTCACTAGGAATGTTGAACGGCGAGAGGATATCGATCTCTCCAAGGGGTGATGGCGGAAACAACGGCAATCAATCCTTCCAAAGCAGCAGCCGCTTGCAAATGGGATCAGACTTTTCGTCGCATCCTTACTCGCACTATTACGGAACATCTGGTAGTACCGCAAAGCAGAACTTTGAGCAAAACGACCAAATCAACGATATTTACGGATACGGTGCTGGAGCTGGACCAAGAGATCCCTCTGCCATAGAAGATGATCCACTCGGGGACATGGACTACGATATGTACGACGACTACTATGATGGTGTCGATGGACGCGATAGACGAATGAGGGATAGAGGGAGCCGTAGAATGGACGATATGCGGGGCCGGGGAATGCGGGACGGACCACGCGATCGAGGGAGCCGCCGACTAGATGATTTGCGTGAGGGACCACGTGGCGGCCCTCGTCGCCGAGGTGCGCCCAATTTCAGCAAGCGATTTGTCGAGGAGGAACGCATGATGGAAGAAGATCGTCGTCTGCGCGATCTCGAGTTTCGCCGCAGAAACAATGATCTCGCGGAGCGTGTCGAGGAACGTCATGTATTGGATCGAATGGACGAGTTGATTATGGAACACGACCGCCTGGCCCGCCGATTGGATGCCATGGAAGCAAAATCGGAGGAACTCAACCGAGAATCCAACGAGCGCGCCGATGAGATGTTGCGTGTAGTTCATGAAGAACAGCAAGAAGCAACGAAGCGCATGATGGAGAGCGTTCTTGGGGAACTACAGATCGTGCAACGTACACTACTGGCAGTCCAGAACGAACAGCGCCGTGTCGGATTCGATCCCGATGTCGATGGTGCGCCTCCTTCACCTATTGGAGGACCAGACATGGGTATTCCACCGCCGCCGAAAGGAAATGGACCGAATGATGGTGGTCCAAGAGGCCGTGGCCCTATGGATGGAGGTCCCATAGGAGGTGGAAGTGGCGGAGTAGAGACTCCTCCACCTTCTACTCCACCTCCCAATCCGACGGTAGGGGCTGAAGTCCCTCCTCCACCTCCTCCGACTGCGGAAACTCCACCGCCTCCTACGATGGAAGCACCGCCACCGCCACCACCACCTCAATCTCCTCAAACTGGTCAGAATTACGGTGATGCTAAACAATCAGGCACTGGTCCAATTTCACCACCTCCGCCGCCTTCTCAAACATCAGTAGGCAATCCTCCTTCTGGCGCTTCTTACAGCAATACTGGAGTCCCTCCACCACCCCCTCAGCAAGGTCCTGGCTCTCCACCACCGCAGGGATATTCGCAGCAGGCTCCTCCCCCCCCGCAATATCAACAACCACCACCGCCGGGATACCAACAGCAGCCACCTCCAAATTTCGACTTTGACAACGAAGATGATATTCGTGAACGTCCCCCACCCGCGAAAGCCATCATCAACGGTGGTGTTAACGGAAATACAGGCGGAGGAACCTTTAAGACCGGACCACCGAAGATGGTCGACCCCGATGCCTATGGAAATGCCCTAGGGACTGACGAACCCACAAACAGTTTTCAACAACGAAAAATGGGGCTTCGAGAGAAGCCACAACCCCCTGAACGATCGACTGAACCTCGCAAACAAACACTGAGAGATCGCATCTTCCAGGAAAAGGGACGCGACGAAAATCAGCAACACTATGGAGAACAACCACGACAGAACCAGCAGCCACCACCGCCCCCTCCTCAACAGCAACAGCGAGGAGGAATTCCACCTCAGGGGCAACCACCACAGGCTCAGAGAGGAGGTTACGGCGGCCCACCACCGCCTCCGCAGCAGCAGCAGCAGCAGCCTGGACAAACTCCTTTCCCTCAAACGATGCAGCCGCCACCACAGCAAACTCCACCACCGCCACCACCACAACAGCAAGCTCCTCCTCCACCTCCACCACCATCGTACTACGATAATCAGGATGCGGGAAGTGGTTACCCTCAAGGTGGTGTAAACACCTTTGAGCCTGGTGGTCAACGGGCGAGTAACAATCGTCGCCCGCCGCCCTCAAAATCGAATTCTTTTGGAAATTTTGGTGGACAGGGATCAGGACGCCCGCGTGGAAAGGCCTCTGGCTTTGGAGGAGGACAAAGTGGTAGGGGAGGAGGCCGAGGGCCTAAAAACTTTGGAGAGGAAACCGGTAGTATCACATTCACAGATTCACCTGATGGTGGGCGATGCTTTTTGACATAAACAAGAACCAATTGAATTTTAATCTTTCATGCGTTCCAATGTAAGCGAAGTAGGCAAATGTATCCTCTACTCTGCCGAGCCGCTTGAAACCAGTATCGGAGTCGCTTATATAATAAATTGACTATCGAATGGGTGGGATGTTGAGGATCTATTGGTTTGTCAGTGAGTGAGAAGTATGTAGAAATGTATTTGAAGAGAAGGAACGAATGAATGAACAAATCGACGGAAATTCGTCGTCAAATTAAACCTTCTTATGTTTTGTAAGGAGAAGGATTCCGCTTCGTTTCTCCCAGTGTCTGTGAAGAAAAAGGAAATGATGAAGAACGGAACGCGCACATCGTTTTTTCTTGTTACGATGGAAGCCAGCACGAGCAGATATGGAGATTGAAGATTTTAGAACAGGACATGAAATTGCTAAATTGCTAGATACAACATCATACATAGTGCAACAAGAAAATTAAAACACGAGAAACTACTCCTTCCATTCTATCTGTCTTCTTTGTTTCATTTTCGTTGTTCGTCCTGAAGTTGTCTTTGCCCCTAAATTTATATGCAAATCATCGAATAGCACATTGTGACTCAAGAACTGTAACTACTCCGCACTAAAGGAGGGTTGATGACAGTTGATCCGGAAACATCACATCAGCAACTAACAGTAGCCCAACTCCATGTGTAATCTTTGATAATAGGTTAATTCCAAGCTTTTGCTTCCAGGGCTGTAGAGTTTCCCATTCCTCCAAGACAGGGTCACGGCAGACGCAGGGAATAAATCAAACACAGTGCGCCAAAGAAAGAAAAGGCAGAAAAAAGATAGGAAACACATCACGTCAAATCATGTGCAACCATCAGGAATATCCTTGAATGAAAGCTAGACGGTAGCGTTAGTTCCTTTTTCGCACCTCTACTTTTTGTCGTAACTTTTGACATGCTCATCCAATGATGCTCGACGAACTCCTACGGATAAAAGAAGTATAAAATTTTACCTTAAAAAGGTAACGTTAATTTAGATACCTGCGACCCTTACTAATATTAATGTCAACACATACTGTGCATGGCATTACCGTAATTGCAAATCAACAAATGTAAAAGAGGCAGTAATCTAATTCTTCGATTGAATTCTGTTATGAGAACTTTGTTGTCTTGCAGGGTGTAACAAATATTGTTTTTTTTTTTAGTCAGACCTGTTGCTTTGTTTCCTTTCCCGAGACGTAGGTGAAGTGACCCATTTTTTCGCCCTTTACTTTCGGCTAACGGTATGTTTTTCGTATTGTGAGTTACTTTACGCATTGTAAATTAATTTCCTGTACTGTATTAAAAAGTTAAAAAAGGTTGGGACGCTCATCATTTTTCTGTGCAATAATTTGGTATTAGCAGGTCGATCAAGTCGTGAAGAATGAAGATTGATAAAATGAGAATGAGAGTGTGATCTGTGATTAACCATCTGCTTAGCCATTAATTTTTGCGATTGGTAGTCTTCCGGAATTTTTAACCCAATCAAAATATTCCATTTGTGGATGAGAATGGATTTCTCTTTCTGCATTAAATATTATCATAGCAGACCGAGACAGATTCCAAATTGTGTCAGTATATATACATTCATACAAGAATGTAAATATAAAATCTAAACAGAAGGCTAGAACCGAAAGGGCATCACGAAATTTCGTTTGAAAATCTTTTTTCTTTGACACGAAAATCTTTTTTCCTTGGACAAAGACGTTTTCGATTATTTTTTCTTTTCTCACTGAACCTTCATCTTGGCGTTTGGTGTTCTCATGTTTATTTCATAAACTCGACCATTGATCCAATCAAATAAGGACGAATTGAACAATTAGCTCTTTGAGTTTTCTGCTATTGTATTACGTTGATCCATCATTGGCATGTCGGAACAAATTGATTTTGGTGCCGACGATCCCTTCTGGGTCGACAAAACCTGGCTTGATACCGTTGTTGTCTTCGGTTTGTCATGTTTTGTCCTCTGTTTGATGAACCTTTCGAAGGTAGGAAAACAATTGTTTTTGTTCGCTTTCGACAGGTCGCATTGGTTGCTTACTGATTACTAATTAAATGTCGACCAGGCATCCTAACACAAGTGTATCCTATGAATTTCTATTAATGTAAGGTTTCAACTTCTAAAATGGGAATGCTTTACGGTGTTGTCGGTATGATCTGCCTCGTTGCCGGTTACTGGGCTGACAATGTCTACACGTACGGCGATGGCCGGTGGCTCATTGCCGCATCTATGGCTCCTGGAATCTTATTCGGTATTTGGTCTGCTATTTCTGTTGAAATCACTGGACTTCCAGAATTAGTTGGTGCCTACAATGGGTTCGGTGGTCTTGCTGCTGCGCTAGAAKGTATCGGGTTATATCTGGACCCCGATGCGACCTACMTAGTCCGCGGAGGCCGAAATATTGTCAAGCTTAACGATCCAATGTTGTGGGTTCAAGCCATCGCCCTAGTTCTTTCGATTATTATCGGTATGATGACATTCACCGGTAGCATGGTCGCTTGTCTCAAACTCCATGGCACCATTGCTTCGAAACCTCGTATAATCCCGTTCCGATGGGGAGTTACAGTTCTTCTGTTTGTGTTGATGGGAATCTTCGGTGCTCTCGCGTTCACCGGTGGGCAGACATGGAACGATCGTGGACTTGGGATTACCTTCATTGCTATTGTCACAATCCTTTCGGGGCTATACGGTATCATCGCCGTCATGGCTATCGGTGGTGGAGATATGCCAGTCTCAATTTCTTTCTTGAACAGTTTGTCCGGATTCTCAACCAGTATGGCCGGGTTTATGCTTTCAAACAAAGCACTCGTTGTGGCAGGTGCATTTGTGGGATGCAGCGGAATTATCCTCACACTTGTCATGTGCATGTAAGTCGCAAGATAGAAGCATGGCGACTTTTGGATCAAATTGAACGTCTTGTTTCTTCTAAAGCTCTCACACCAACGATTGTTTCTTTTTTTTGCAACTACATAGTGCCATGAATCGTAGCATTTCGAACGTCTTGATTGGAGGATTCGGTGATGGAGCTGGTAAAAAGGTGGCAAAGAAAGTCGAAGGAACTGCAACAGAGGTGAACGCCGACGACGTCATCGAACTTATGCAAGATGCAAAATCTATGATAATCGTTCCTGGATACGGTATGGCTGTAGCCCATGCTCAGCATGCGGTTGCGGACCTTACTTCAAAACTTCGGGCCCGCGGAACCAATGTGCGTTTTGCTATTCACCCCGTTGCCGGACGATTACCAGGTCATATGAATGTCTTGCTCGCAGAGGCTGCTGTTCCTTATGACATCACGTTTGCTATGGACGATATCAACGAAGATTTCCCTGAAACCGACCTAGCCTTGATCTTGGGTGCCAACGATACCGTGAACCCTGCTGCACAGACCGATCCTGGTTCTCGTAAGTCTACCCGCAGGGGTGTTTTTCGTCTTCAAAGCTTGTGCTTTGCTTTAAACTCACCTGGCCTTTGCATGCTTTTTCCCTGCTTTTCTTTGAATTCGTTAGCTATTGCTGGCATGCCCGTCCTCGAGGTCTGGAAAGCAAAAAAGACGATTACTATGAAGCGAAGTCTTCGTGTTGGTTACGCTGGAGTGGACAATCCTCTTTTTGTAAATGACAACAATGTTATGTTCCTTGGCGACGCGAAGAAATCCCTCGAAAAGCTCCTCGCCTTGTTGGGCGATGCGGGCGAAGGAACAAATACCAACGGCGACATCGAAGCAGTGGCAAAGAAGGTGGTCAAGGTAGATCCTTTTTTTACTCAAATCCCACAATTGCTCCAGAACACGTTCCTCAAGATTGGTGTTTGCAAAGAGATTGCACAAGATGGAGAAAAACGCGTATCCATTGTTCCTGAAGTTGCTAAGCGACTGCTCAAATCCGGGATTCAAGTCTTTGTTGAGACCTCGGCCGGCGATGGAGGTGGCTTCTACGACAGTGCCTACACAATGATGGGATGCCAGATTCTGGGCTCTGCCCAGGAAGTATACGACATGGTCGATGTCGTGGTCAAGATCCGAGAACCCGAGATGCACCCAATTACCGGCATACACGAAATCGATATGCTGGGCCAAGGAAAGAGCATGATCAGTTTTGTCGGACCACGCACGGACAAAGGAAAAGCACTCATGGCCAAAGCCGTCAGCGCCGGAATCAACCTTCTTGCGGTAGATGCCATCCCCCGTATTTCTCGCGCACAAAGCCTCGATGTATTGAGTTCGCAAGCCAAGATTGCCGGATACCGCGCCGTGGTGGAGGCAGCGAACGAGTACCAGCGATTTTTCAACGGCGAGGTCACCGCCGCCGGCAGCTTTGCGGCGTCCAAGGTTCTCGTCGTGGGTGCCGGTGTTGCCGGGTTGTCCGCGATCAGCACAGCCGCATCCATGGGTGCCATCGTGCGGGCCTTCGACACCCGCTTGGAGTGCAAGGAACAGGTAGAATCGTTGAAGGGAGAATTCCTCGTTCTCGATTTCGACAGCGAAGACGGAGGCGATTCCGGAACCGGGTACGCCAAGGTCATGAGCGACGCGTTCATCCAGAAGGAAATGGAGATGTTCCGGGAGCAAGCCAAGGAATGCCAGATCATCATCACTACCGCCGCCATTCCGGGCCGCCCGGCACCGAAGCTCATCATGAAGGACGCGGTGGACAACATGGCCCCCGGTAGTGTGATCGTAGACCTCGCCGGGGCCACCGGTGGAAATTGTGAGCTCACTCGCCCCGGAGAAACCTATGTCTACGACAACCGAGTCACCATCATTGGAACCACGGATCTCATCAGCCGCATGTCGTGGCAGGCCTCGAGCATGTACAGCAACAATATGGCAAACCTTCTGGACCTTCTTTGCCCCAAACCCAAGGAGGAGGCCGCACAGAAGTCCCTGTTTATCGACATGGATGACCCCGTGATCCGTGGAATGACCTGCGTCCACGACGGAAGCGTGACCTGGCCTCCTCCGGCAAGCGTCACGAAGACTAGTGCCCAGAGCGGAGGCCAGAACGAAGAAACCCAGATTTCCATGACACCGGTAGCCAAGCCGTCTGCGTTCTCGAAACGGGTCTTCGACCTCACCTCCATCGGTGAAATCCTCGGATTCCTCCTCATGATGCTCTTTTTCGTAGTCCTCGCATTCTTTGCTCCTGTTTCGTTCGTGACTCAGCTCCTCTACTTCATCCTCGCTGGATTCCTTGGATACTACCTGATCTGGGCCGTGGAGCCTGCTCTGTTCAGTCCGTTGATGAGTATTAGCAACAGCCTTTCGGGGGTCGTTATCCTCGGAGGTATTCTCATGGTAAGCGGAGAGCGTGGTTCTCCCTCGAACATCCTTGGATGCCTCGCCATCTCGGTAGCCACCATCAACGTCTTTGGAGGTTTCGCCGTTTCGTACCGCATGCTTCTCATGTTCAAGAAGGAGAAGCAGTAGAGCAAGCAGTGTAGCGTAGCAAGCAAGCACACGCAGTAAAGGGTCGAATGGATTTTATTAATGTATTTTTGCATGTCAAGACACCACAAAGAGAGTATTTCATTTATGGCAGTTGTTCGCGAACCTGATAAATGACAAAAATGACGACGACGAGCCAATTCGTTCTAACTCCGTGTAGGATAGTGTTGGGAGTCTCGATTCCTCTTCTACAGTGAACTAAATTCATAAACCAAATTCGTCGGAATATTTTTCTCTCAAATTATATAATCACCTAACAATTTAGAGTTCTAGACCCTGCATTCCAGCCCCGAACAGCACAGAAGCACAAGATTTGACGATCCAAAAACAAGATAACGTGCTCGTGACGACGCTGAACAACCGAAACGACGACGCCCTCGAACTCGATCTTGCAAACAACACCATGATCTTGAAGGTCGTTGAAAAATCGATCCTCGCGGTCGCATCGATCGTCTTCATCGTTGCCAAAATACTCAAGATTATGCACTCCTCTCAAAGTAGATTTGTATCGAAGAGCCGTTGGAGATTCTTTTCCACGAGTCAAAGCTACAGACAAACGTACTGGCATCCATCGACGAGAAAGGTTCCCAATCTTTCCATCGCAGTCGACCACCAAGACAAAGACACCTTTTTCGTCGAGAGGCAGGGATTTGCGAATTCAGGCAATCCATATCGTTTTGGTTCGTCTTACGTGAACCTAGAGGGTCGGGGACGATCCTCTAGGTTCCAACCGGCGTTCTGCTTCAAGTGTCTGCATGCCACCCGATCCGATCATCCTTTCTCATTTCCAATGTGCCATGTTCCCTCGAATGCGGAATCGAACACCCCTCGGGCCCATTGCACCTCGAAAGAATTTGGAACACGAGCCATTCGTTTCTTGGTCGTTTCGATATTGTTTGGGGTGCAAAACGGGACGGGGGGATCGGCTTGCACGTCGTGTGGCGATGCCTTGAACGAAGCTATGGGTTTGCCGGCTCGATTTTTTCGGCTGTTGGGGGACCTTGGAAGGGCATTGTGTTGTATGGGCTCCCGGGAGCTGGCAATCCTGCCTCGCCAGAGCGGTCGCGACGGAAGCCGATGCGACAGCTTTTCCGATCTGGTTTCGAAAGCGAAAATCGGAAAGTTTGCAACTTTCTGTTTCGATCTTTGTTTTTCCTCGAACGAATCTACTCCGTCGTTTTCATGCCGCTCGCTGCAACGGATCGATGCCGTCGTCGGTTCGGTGCATCCGCTCGACGTGCGTGCTTCGTGGCTTGTGTTCCTTCGGACAATGCCATGCGCGCGACTCCACGAAGGTACCACGCTTCCGGGGCAGATCCTACCGGTGAGGCACTATTTGGCCCTGTTCACCCTCAAAGGAAGCTGCGACACATGACTATTTGACTCTTTCCGGCGCACTCGAATTCGATGGAACGGAATCCCATCTTCCTCCACGGAGCTTTGTTGATCTTCGTGGCCTTCGTCACCGCGATCTTCACAAAAGGACATCCAGCCCCCGGCGTTCCAGGCCTGGGTTGTCCAGGCCTGGGTTGGAACGATGGCAGGTCGGGACGAAATGCCGTCACGTGCTTGTGCATGTGCCACGGGAGCACGCTTGGCCGTGGAGATGGCCTTTGGAACGCAGTGTCCAGAGAAGGGTCGAAATGGCTCTGGGTTGGGTTTGGCAATCCGTTGACGAGACGATTATACATACGGTACCATACCGTATGAAGAACCTCCCGCGTCGTTCAATCGAATCAATCACCACGGTTTTTTTAAACTTAGGCATCGCAGAAATGAAATGATTCGGCGTGGACTTGTCCCACCGCCCGGCGGAAGGAATTCCGCCATCACCGCGTCTTCGCGCTCGTCCAATCGTTTTCGAGAAAACAACAGGGTCTGCGAGAAATCTGTGCCAAAGCCAAGGCGTTCATAGTTCATAGTCGGGTACGTATGTACGTATGTATGTTCATACGTATGACCATGCATGAATGGTACATATGTATCATACGTTATGTATGTATCGCTCAAAAACTGCACCATCGTCTGGCACTGGTACGTATCAACGCGGTCAGGGGAAGATGACGATGTGTGTGATTCACAACCAGGAAACGAAAACCGAGCAAGGCTTTTTCGAGTTCGCTTTTTCGATCACAAAACAAAACATGCCATACCATACCGCTTTTTTGGGAACGGACGAAATTCACAACGACAAATGATACAACATTTCGTTCGATTCATTTTTACCGAACCAATTTGTATGCAGTCGAGATCCGATCTATTATAGCTAACCAGACAATACCGCACCCCGAAAGATTCGAATCAATCGGTTCGCGATCAAAAGAAAAGATGAGCATGGAAGAACAAGACACATCGTCGACATCGTCGTCATCGTCGTCGGACACAGAAGAACAAAAGCCGATGGCACAGAACACAAATGACAAAACCGAGCAACGCACCCACGACCCGAACAAGAAGAACGCCCAGGCCAGCTCAAACGCCATGTCTGCGAAACAAAATTCAAATAGCAACAAAAACAAAAAGCGCAAGCGAAAACGAATCTCGGAGGAGGAAGAGCAGCAAGAACTCCTCAAAGTTCAGATGGAGCGATACGATCGGCTCCTCTACACGGCCCAAAAACAGCTGCACAAGGCTGCGAAGCAAACCAAGACATTTCTTCTCCAAAAACAGATTCGAAAACAGAGCGACAAGAAGAGCAAGAAGCAGAAGAGTGCGGATAAGGACAACGACAAGGACAAGGACAACGACGGTCAGCAAACAGGAGCCTCAAACGAGCCGCCACAGAGCGGTAATAATACGGAAGCGGTGCTGCTACAAAAAGCGCTTGACCTTAACGTCGTAACCAGCCAGGCTATTCGGCAGCTAGGTCTATACCACTGCGATCCGCGGTTCAAAATGGCAACGATGGAAACGGAGGAGGCTCCCGGCGATGACGACGACGAAAAAGACAACCAGAACATCTACAACAAACMACGAGCAAATGCAGACGACAACCATGGCAGCGAAGGCAGCCAGACCAGCTCAAAACGGAGAAAACACAACAAAACGACCAAGAACCAGCAGAACATCTCGACCGCCCCCCCAACCATTCCGGCACCCCTTGCCCCCAGCGATCCACAAAAGCCCCTGGTAGATGCGGTCCTGACGCACAAGCGCTTTGCCAAGTCGCTGGAAGAATGGAACGAGAAGGTCACCGAGTACCGGAGGTGGTGCATGAGGCTCGAACAGCGGAACAATCCAAGCCCCTTTGCCGACGAGGACTTTGCCGCTATGAGCCGCAAACAGAAAAAGAAGACGAAGAAAAAGCAACGGCAGAACGGGGACCAGGCGGGCGACGCCATTGGTCTCCAGGCGACCGTTGAAAACGAGTCTTCCCTCTTTTGCACACTGGGCCAGACCGAACCCGAGCCCGCAGACCACAAGTACTCCGCCTACGGGCCCGGTGCTACCATGGAGGCCTTTCCGATGCTCAAGAAGAAAAACCGAAAGGGCCAGCGCCAGCGGCGCGCCAAGGCGATGGCCATCGAGGCCAAAAAGGCCGGTCGATCCCACGAGAACTACCAGAGCGTAAACTGGAGAGAGCCCAAGAAGGCCAGGGAGGAAGGCGATGACCAGCAGCACGATGGCGACCAACGGCACGCCCGCAAAAGCCGGGGTCGGGGGAAAGAGAGGAACCGCAACCTCCAGCGTGCATCTTCGGAATCGAAGGCCAACAACCACCACCACGACAGTTATAAAACGAATCAGCACAAGCAACAACAGCAACAGCAAGAAGCAGTCGAAGCGCATCCATCCTGGGCCGCAAAGCAAGCCCAATCGACGGGAATTGTGGCATTCCAAGGAAAAAAGATTACCTTCGATTGAATGGAATGGGATTCAATCCAACACTTGTCGTGATACATCAACTGATGGTAAAATCACATGGATATACCAAAACAGGCCCTCTCTAAGTATATATTGCAATTGCGTCAGCTACTTTCACCTAATGCAATCTTCATGGTGCTGGTGACTGCATACATTTAAAATACATCTGTTAAGCACAAAAAGAAGCATTGAAAACGGGCATATATTGAGCTTATTTCAACTAAAGAGGTGAAAAGTGCACTATTATTGTGGGATGAAGCTAGTAGTAACTTCTTATAATTTCAATTTTCATACACACTTAAAACATACTAAGAGTACACGTAATCTCGTGCACACCAAAAATCTGTTTGCCACAAACAACAATACTATTGGCATGCTGATATTCATCAGAGTGAATTTTTAAACATCATATTTTTAGTATTTTTGATAAAGCTATGAGCGACTACTATGTACAAGTTGGATAGTTTTACTAATCATGTTATACAGTAAAAATAGAAATTTAAAAAAATCCAGGGGTGAAATCTTTCTTTTTTGTGCCAAGGATGGAATATGTGCACAGTGCACACCCCTTAAAATTACTACTACAAATTATGACCCCTGTTCTAAGATACGTACGTAGAGTATGAAGGGTACGAGTCAGAAGTGCATGCGTCATGCGTTAGCAGATGTGAATGCACTTACGGTGCGCACAACTTCAAATACAGTACGAGAACACAGTATCTTCAAATCTTTCTTTTACTCACAACGCGAACAAGAATTCGTCTTCCAACCGATACAAAAAGACGAAGTCATTGAGTTCGCGAGGGTAGGCGAAATTTTTGACCAAAACTTCTTGGCAGTTCCTGCTTTCCAAAGCCACAGCAGCATCGCATCGAATCATATTACATTGGAATTGGTTGCCTTCTACTACAAGCGCTATGTCGCCGAAGAAATCCTCGGGGGGTGGAAAGGTGTTAGGGTTGTTTCCCAAGAAGAAGAAGAACCAGCAGCAGGAACAATCAAAGAAAAGTAAACAAAAGAGGAGTGCTTCGAACGATGGGAGATCTACTACTTCCAAAAGTGTAGCCTCGCAGGAACAATGGGATCGGTCTCGTGCCAACACAGAAGCCTTTTCAAGCGCCAATAGAGCATCGAAGCGGTCCCTCGTAGCTCTGGCCTATGAAACGACGACTTCGCCGAGTTTTCGGAGGGAAAGACGGAAAACAGGCAAGCAGCAACCGTTCCCGAACGGCTCGGCTTCGGATTCGAACTCAGCCAAGCGATCCAAAGCAAACGTGCCCCCGCCGTCCACCCGCAGTCGAATGCGGTCCGCTGCTCGAAAGGTTTCCGGAAACAAGACAACCGTAGAAACCAGCATCACCGACAAAAAACGTGTCAGTCGGGAAAGAGGTTGGTTCTCGTTCTTGAACCCGGCAAGATCCTCTTTTTTCCAGAAATTGTGCGACGATACCTTTGATTCCATCGACGTGGATGGATCCGGGAAGATCGACGAGTCCGAGCTATACCGCGGTTTGTTGCTGATCCACCTTAAGCTGGGCATTTATTTCGGCGCTCCAGCCTGTAAACCTCTCAGTGCGGAGAACGCTGTCACCGTCTTCCAACAATTGGACACCAATCGGGATGGCTCCCTCGACAAGGATGAATTCCGCAGCGTGCTGACCCTGTTGATGGGAAACGTTTTGTTTCGCATCATCTTTCAGTTCGTGTGCACGCTGGTGATGGTTCCGATGTTGGCACAGACGTTCCTAGAACAAGTATCTTTTGGATGGACCTGGTTGGTTGCGGTGGCGGTGCCGCTTTGGAAGGAATATCTGCCGTTGCTTGAATGTGCTCTAGCATTGGACCTAGTGAAAAAGTATTCTTCCTTGGCCCTATCGAGAGGTTTCGAGCTTTTTGAGACGACCGTACCACTTGAAACGATTGAAAGCATCCAGAAAACCATTGAACCCATTCAAAACACCGTGTTAGAATCATGGGAAACAATGGTAATGGCGAACGTCCGCGATATTCCGCAGGAAACGCTGGATTCTCTGCCGCTGACGATTGTTTCTACGATGCTAACGCTGATAATTGTTCCGTATTCAATTTTGAAGACAGATGAGTTCTTTCAGTTTTTGGCACGCAAAATTTCGGGTGGTAAGAAGGGGTAACAGGTAAACTTGGGTGATTGAACTTCGCTTCTTGTACGCTTCTGAATGTCTATTTTGTCAAGCTAGGAATCAACATTGATTTAAGACCAGGATGATTCGAAGATGAAAAATATCTCATAGCAAAATCGACATGAGGACTAACTGAAAGCAGATTTCAATTTCGTCTCTTTTTTTGAGTCGAATGGATCGCCCTTCCTCTCTAAGATCATTAATTTTTACCATGAATCCAATCAAACGAAAGGGAGGAGAAGGAAGTCGCAAAAGTACATAATCTATTTTCCAACCGGACGATGGTTTTTCGTACAAATCAGAGCAAACCAATTTTTCTAGACATCTTAAAGCAGCTAATTCATAATACTGTGCAGTGTTAGGAAAAAACAGACAAAATCACTTTTTCTAGACTGGAAGTTTATTCACGTAGTGTCCCATGTACTTCGATTCGACAATCCGACGAAAAACAATTTTCCTGGCTGCCTCTCTCCGCAAGCCCCTCTATTACAAGAAAAAAACAACAGCAGCCAAAATCGTAGCAGTCCCGATCGTGACGGGGCGTGTAGCGGCTGATTCGAGACCGGTAGTGGCAGGAACCGTGGCAAACGGTTCGTCACTCGTTGGAGCAGCGGGTTCCGGCATCGGGGCGTCCTCTGAGCCGGCGTCGGCCGAAGCAGAAGGTTCCGGCATAAGGGTGTCCTCGGAGCCAGCGTCATCCGAGGGAGCAATCAACGGTCGGACGCATTCTTGTTGTGGTGGCACGTAGGGTTCCGAGATTTCCCCTCCCAAGACATCGCACTCTTCCAATTCACCAATGGGATCGGTGAACACGTTGCGGAACCAACGGTTTTGGTGGCCGGAGGCTGGGGCATAGCCAACGATGTTGCACATGTCCAAACCGACGACGTCGTATTCGGCGTATCGCTGTTCGTACCAGGCGGAGCTACCCTGGCCGAGAACGTCGTAGACTTGTCCGTTCTGAACGGCTTTCATTTTGTTGAGGGTCTCGTTTTTCAGTGCGTAAATTTCGTTCCAGTCTGACCCCGAATAGATAAGAATGTCGGCATCCATACCCATGTCTAGCATTTCTTCATCGTTCAGGTACCAATAGACGGTAGGAGATCCCCATGTCTTGTTGACGCCTACTCCTTCGGGGCGAGTCAAAACGGTCGCTCCGCAATGCGTGGCATATTCGCAGTAGTACGCATGGTCCCAGGTTGGGCATTCGCCGACACTCCATCCCAAGTTCTGGTAGGTGAGGTAATTGGCCCACATGATTGTGGGTCCTTCCTCGGCTTCGAGTTCTCGTTGCTCGGCTGCCATGAAACTGGCAACGTCGCTACTGCAGTCGTAGGACTCTTGCATGTTGGAGGTGATTCGGTTCGCTTCTCCCTCCATGTTGTAAAAGGCCGCAAAGAAAGAAATCCAATCGAACGTGGCGACATTGGTGCGTTCCTGGGTAGCGGAGGAGACGATAACTTGTTCGCCTACCACGTTGTTGCTCGGTCCGGAAACGATGATGGCATCGGGATTTCGTTCGCGAAAGTCGTCGATGAGCTCTTCTTGGATGGAGTAATTGTGCACGGTTTCGATCATGGGTGTCTCCCCTTCCATCATGTGGGTCATGCAGGGACTGGTCACGTAAAAGGGGTCGCCGATGTACGCAACGATTGACTCGCGCAATCCGAGGAGTTCCACGTACGGGATCTGTGGGGTCTCAGTGAGTGCGAGGCCGCCCTTGTGGGGAACCGACGTGACCAAATCAAAGCTGTCGACATCGACATCTTCGGGGATCTGCGTTCCGCACTGGTAGAGCAGGTATTTTTTGGGCGGATCCTGGTGGAGATTAGTAACAATCTTGTATGTGTTGAAGTATTCGATGTCGAGAAAGTCGGTGGTATTGTGGGGGACGAATTTCTCGCCGAAAATATCCCTGTCGCCGTAACTCTTGATGATGGGTTTCGAATACTTGTTGGGGAAGTAGTCGACGCCGGCATTGGGATCGAAATCGACCACGCAGTCGTCGACAAGGTTTCCCACGAGGGTGGCACTCTGGTCCTGGTCGGAACCATTTTGAGCGGCGGCGAACCCACTCATTAGCAGTGCAAATGCAGGGGCAGCAATCTTGATCATTTTTTGTTTGGTTTCAAAAACGTGTGGCTTCCGATCCTTTTGGAAACAGATATTATGGATGATCGACGGGGGGTGTAAAAGAAGTCGCAGGTGGTAAGGTTCTCAATGAAAAGGGCACGAAAAATGGATAGGACAAGATTTTTTCCTTCTGTTGATGTCATGAACACCAGCCACCCAATCCAAAAACTTGATATCCAGTATCTATTCGGGGAATCACGTGCTCCGTCCAGCCAATCGAACTTCCAGAACTCCCCATTTATTTCGGGGCTCGTGTCACATACCTTCTCGTTCAATCACGTGCTTCGCTTGGACCGAATTTGAATCAAATCAGTCACTTCTGTAGTTGGTAGAGTTCTTACCATACATACGAGTAGTATCGTACGACTAGGTATTCAGAAAGTACTAATCGCACGTAGCATTATCATGTACTGTACCACCGTACGGTAGTATCGTCCGCCAACGCCGTCGGAATGGAAAATTGCAAGGTTACTGCTAGCATTATTACAACTACTACTAGTAATAGCTATTATTTGCGTGACAGCGATATTGTTCATACAGAGACGATGGACCAAAAATCTCCGATGGTAGGTAATGGATTCATTCACTACTACTCTCCTCCTCAATCAAAAATCGCGGACCAATCCTCTTGCACCGGAGTGCATTCTGAAACGCAACGCCATCCAATGGAGTGAGCGAAAACGAAACGAAATGAAACGCAACGAAACGAGAGAAAAACCGTGTCAGAAGAGGCAACAGCATTGCGCTAGCAGCATCCCCGTGGAAAGCACAAACCACAAAACACAAGGGGTTTCCACCCAAACCCCGTTCGTGCCACTCACGCTGGGAGATCGGCCGCTCGATGTCGCTCTTGATGTTCATCCGCCGCCGGATGGCCCCAACGCAGGGGGCAAAGTCGGGGCCGCACATGGCCTCGTCGCAGCTCGCGGCCGTAATGTCGTCGACGCCCACCCGGAAATCGGTCTCGGCGTTGGTCGTGGTGGCCTGCAGAAAGATCCAGAAGCAGTTGTCCCGGGCACAGAGCTCGTCGGTGGTCCAGCAGGCGGCACACTCCGGCGTGAACCCGATGAGCTCCTCGTTGCACTCCTGGACGTCCTCGACCGACCCCAGGATCGATGTGCGGCAGCTGGTTGGCAACCACGCAATTGCAATGAGAAATAACGACAGACACGACACGACACGGTTCGCAATGCAATTCGACGAGACCACCCGAAGTCAAAGGCAACCAAGAGATTCAAAAAACGCAACTTTCGTGAGACTCGGAACGAAAAAAGCTAGCAACAAAGCCAGTCGTCCATCTACAGTGGCAATATAGCTAGCTACCCGTCCATTTATCCACCCATCCATCGATCCGTTCTTACCATTGCTTGGAGGCCTGGGCCAGAAAGGTCCTGGTGGTCCACTGGAGCGAGAGGTCCTCCCAGTTGCTGCATGCCCCGCAGGCCCCGCAGTGGACCACCGTAAAGGCCCCGTTCGTCTCCTCGACCTCTCTCAGCGATGCAAAGGTCCGGAGCTCCCCCTCCGGGGACCGGTCGCTCCAGGCGCACATCTCTCCCGTGTGGTAGTCGTCGGGGTACAGGATCGCAAAGGAATCGTTGAGGCGGAGGCGGACGATGTTCTGCTGGTAGGTCGCCCCGAGGTTCATCACCGTCAGGTAGAGAAACAGGCAGCTCAGGAGGAAGGAGGCGGTCCCGAAGCAGGCGGCTCCCAGCCTCCACCCGCACGAAGGCCGGACCGGCCCCCGGGAAGGGCCTCGGTCCTCCTCGCCGGGTGGACCGTCGTTTTCGCTTTCGCTTTCGCTTTCGTTCTCGCTCCGGGAGGAGGACGTGTCGCTGCCGGCGCTCTTTCCTTCGGGGTCCACGCTCTTGCCCAATCGGTGGTTCGAGCCGCCGGCGATGCTGCCGCTATGGTACCCGTCGGAGTCGTCCCTCACGCTGCGATAGGTCCGCTGCGTCGATCCGAGGGGGGGCAGCCGTTCGGATGTCCCACCGGCGAGAAATCCCTTCTCCGGCAGAACGAGCCGCTCCCGGAAGTGGTCCGGGGTGAAGCATTCACAGGCGTAGTCGTCGTAGTCGTCGTCGCTGCTTTCGTCGTGGCTGGATTTGTGTTTGGATTTGCGTTTGCACTTGCGGGCGGCCAGGGCGGAGCAACCGCCGTGGAGGCCCCCGCAGACCACCAGGCCCCAGGCCAGGGAGGAATAGAGGGCGATCCCCGAGAGCAGGCTCCCCCGGTCGGCTTCGAAGGCCTCGTTCCCGATCTGCGAGGGGTCCTCGGTCCACACCAGCGCCATCCCGTAGGCCCCGGCCCCGAAGCACGCCGCCGACACCGCCGTTAGCCCGCCCGAAACCAGGGCGGCCGCGGAGGCCAAGCCCGTTCCGCTCGACCTCCGATAGACCTCCCCCACCGTCCCCGCCCAGAGCGTTCCGACCAGCACCCCCGCGGCCGTCCCAAAGGCCACGGCCGGAAAGGACTGGGAGCAGCAGCAGTACGAGTGGCACCAGAACAGGGGGGAGGAGAACCGGAGGCCCCTGTTCCACAGGGCGGTGGCGAGCCCGCAGCGAGAAAAAGGGCTGCACCCGGCCCCCCCGGCGTTGCGGACCCCGTACACTCCGAGCCACTGGCAGAGGGAGACCCCCAGGGCCAGGGCGATCGCCGCCACCGCCACCCCCGAGGCCCCCTCCACGATGCCCTCGGCCCTCCGGTCCATCCCCTCCGCGTAGTGGCAGACCAGGGCGGCGGTGCCGAGGTAGATCCCCAGGCCGGCCGCCAGGACGACCCAAAACCACCACCGGTCGGACGCACGACGGCGGCGGCTGGTTTCGGCCCCGCTGGGCTTGCCCTCCATGCACACCGCATCGAGGGAGGTTCGCTCCGCCACGAGGGCCGAGTCGGATTCGCAGTCGTCCTCCTTGGTCGGAATGCAGTCCGATTCTTTGCGGTGGTTGTTGCGGTCGTCGTCGTTTTTGTTCCTTCTGTGTTGCCTTCGTTCCCGGGCCAGTCTGAACCATGCATATTCGGCGTACAACGTGGCTGCCGGTTGTTGGTTTTGGTTGTTGCGTTGTGTTTTTTGTTTTTGTGTTGCGTCGCGTTGTTGCGTTGTATTTGTTTTKTTTTGTTGCGTGGATGCATTCGTTTGATGCATTCGTTTGATGCATTCGTTTTTTGTTCAAGGACGCACAAAAAAGGCATCGAGAAACAAGGATGGAGTATTATATTGTAAGGGCGAGACAAGAGGGCAACAAGAGGAACAAGCAAGCAAGCAAACAAGCAAGCAAACAGTCCGGCATCCCCTCGCTGTGATGCACTGCGCCGCGTTGCGTTGGGCTACGTACGGATCAGATAGGCCCAGGCCGCCACCGACACCAGGGCGATCCCGTTCCGGTCGGACGCCTTCCCGGCGTAGGCCTCCGCGGCCCCCCCCGACCGGACCGCCAGGAGGGACACGGCGGCCAGGGCGGTTCCCGGGAGGACCGCCATTGCCGGCCACAGAGAGGCCTTCAGCGGCCCGCACCGCTGCGCCTTTTCGGTCAAGGGTGCTTCTGCCCGGCCGGAAGCACCTTGCGACAGGGGCGACGATGGCGATGGCGTCGACGCCGATGAATTGGTGGTGGACGGATCCGTGGTCATCTGGTTCGTTGTGCTGTCCTGTTCTGTTCTTTTCTTTTATTTTCTCTCTTGTCGCAGCGGCTGCTGCTGCTGTTCTCCTTGTTCCGATGCAAGAGAAGGCCGCGAACCAATAATGGTGGCGAGGCGCGTTTGCTGCTGCCGTCCCCGATGGAAGTGCCAAAAGAAACGTGTGTTTTTCGCTACGGCAAGAAATCGCAATCGTTGTTTTTCGATCCGCTACGCTCGTACGGTACCCGTAGTGTAATAGTTGTTCGTTTCATTCCGTGATAGTATTCTTGTGTTTCTCGCCACCGAAACACTTCCCTGTACTATTCGGTAGCGTAGGTTACGTCTTCTTTCGTTCTCGTTTGTGTGCCCTGCACTTATTGGTTTTCTACTAAACCCGGTACGGCGGGGTTCGATGGATTCGATGGATACACCCCGAAACATCCGGCAGCACGCATGGGAGGAAGTCCCTAGCGGTAGGTTGAAATGTGTGTTTGTCGCACGTACGTTGCTTGTTAATTGTAGTATGTGACGGGTGAACCGTATCGTACCGGACCTTTCCGTACGTACCGATTCTCCCCAGACGCGAAGACGCACGCAGAATTCGATCGCGTGGGCCCGAAACTTCCCCGCTGGGGAGTCGCAGTTTGGATTTCGCTCCCGGGGCGAGGCCTACGTAGGGTGCGACGTAGTCGCTAAAAAAAACCATTGAAACTCCAATCCGTTTCCAAAGGCCGCAGGTACCATACGTTCGGTACGAAGTATCATGGGGACGAACTGCAAGGGTCATAATAATACGTTTTCTACGAACTCGTACATACGTACATACGTTCTTTAGCTCAAGGGACGAACCACGAACCATTCTACAGTACTTCGTACATTGGGTACAATCCAACGAATGGTATCCTGACAACCCGGAACATTCTTCGGGAACCTCGTACGATACGAAATGTGTGACTGACAACTGCTACTTCTTTGACTTCTCGGCAGAAGTAGATTTTTCGATAGACAACAAAGGAGGATCTTTCTTTATCCGATCGTCCAAAGCCGATGCGGCAATCCAGGTGACCGATCCCCAGTGCAACTACCAGGCACGCTCTTCTCTCGCAAAACTCAAGCAAATTCCCAATCCAGTCTGGTACGTACCGTACGCAGAGGTTGTTCCGTTTGGCATCGGCATTTCACCCGCCCGTCGGGCCGCGGGACAATTCCCTTTTGCGAGGGAACAAATACCGTTGCAACGGGCGTGGTGTGTTATATGGTATAGCGTTGGCATTCTCCACCGGTGCACTGGTGCCGGGGATCCTTCGAAAGCCAGATCCGATGCGAAACGGACGTTCGATTCGGCGGGGCTTCGCTCTCCGGCCGGGGAAGGGCTCGCTCTTTCCACCGACCGAAAGTAGTTTCCCAGCCAACAACCGCCACCGACCCCTCCGGGACGCCTCCTCCCGCTGCTGCGAGAAACGAAACAGAAACGGCTGCCGGCGGCACGGACCGAGAAAGTGGATCCATTTCCCCGGGCGTGCTCCGAACCGGACGGCACGCATTGTGTTCCGCGAGGCATCCAAAACCGAGCAGAACCGCAATCCGCCACGAGCTCCAACACGACGGTTCCCGCAAAGCAGCCTTCCTTGAAATGTGCCACCACGGCTACGTACCATCCTCCACCAATCCACGGTCTTCGAACAGAAGGCCTTGTATGAATCGAATGGGTTTCAACCAAGTCCTTCGTGTCGTTCCGGAGCACCCCGAGGGCAGGCAGCGGCGGCCCGAAGGGCACCCGGCGGTTGTCCTCCCCCGCTTCCAGAGCACCACAAGGTTCCCTCCCACGCCTGCTACGGCCAAGCTCCGCGCCAAGAAACCATCCGAGTTGTGCCCTTTCGCCAGGGTGCGATACCGTCTACGCCTCGGTAGATCACGGTTCCGTGTCTGGTGTTGTGCACACCTGACTCGGAAGCAAACGCAAACCATCGTCGGGTCAAGGCAATTTGGTACCGTATGCACGAGTGTTGATGGGCACGGCCCTAGGTTGAGCAAGGAAGAAAAAGAAGAACTCGAAAAAGAGCGCGAGGATTGTGGATAGATGATAGATCATAATCCATATGAATTTGCCCAAGCAACTGCACTCTATGGTCTACTCTCTATGTTTCCTAGCTTGATTTCGAAACAAAAGACAATAGTGCGTACGGCACAGAACAAAGCCTCGAGTCCCCGCCCAAAACATTCTCTGGAAACTTTGAAGATTATCCATGATATTTTCTAATAGTGCTTGTGATGGTCGTGTCCTTGGTTTTGTCAGTCGATATCCGAATAAGTCCTTCCTAACCATTGCAAAAAACCCCTGGAATATTCCAGGAACCGAGTAGGACTTAATAAACAATGTGGATTTTCCAGGCGAAGCTGCCTTAGTGGTGCATTTGTCATATTCCTCTAATCCTGTGTTGCCATAGGTTTTGCTGTCCTCCCACATCGCTGAAAGACCATCATGTTAGGAGATTCGTTCAAGAGTGCTCATTGCAGCCGTATACTCCACTTTGCCAGGGTTTGGTTTGTCGCATTTCGCCTTGTTTGAAACATAATTCCAGGTTGACTAGAGGTCTATCACTACACCGATGTCGGGTCCATTTATTGATGATCGTATCCATTGTTGCTGTAGTTGCAATCCCTATAGTGGCTCCGAATTTAACGTTTTTTGACGGTTTTGACCTGTGTATGTGAGTCCAAGAAGAACGATAACTGCGAGAGTTTACGGATATCTTTTTAATTAGGCCAGTGATGTTTTGGTTCTGATTTTTTTTTGTTTCAGCGAAAAAAAATGGTTTGTGGTTTTTGAGTTCAATCACTCATTGCCCTTAAGGCCTTCTTCACAGTGTACGAGTAACAATTAATACTACTCGTACTGCTCGTACGAGTACTCGTACTGGCTCGAAATCGTTCTTTCATGGAGTTGCTGCCAACGGAAAAAATCCCGTATTGCCCTTTCGGCGAGATAGCATACTGTTCAGTGTGACTTCCGCTACACTTCGTAAACCTAACTCATTATGTGCGTAATCTCAGTACCGTCCTCGAAGAATATTCTTCTCGTCGACGAAATAATGAAAGTAAGTTTTTTATGTTTCTTCGCAGTTTGATTCATCTCAGCAATTATCATAATTGATTCGAACCGATGCGACGCGATGCGACGCGATGCGACGCATTGAATGCATCAATCAGGGAGCAAAAAGCAGCGACCAAGCATTGCGTTCCGACTGATTGAACCAACAACACAGCATACCTTCCGAGGCATCTGATCGCAAAACCTACCGTCTTATAAGAACTGCTTTCGATCCCATTGCATTCGCCGTGTACACATATATAATTCATACAGTACACGCACCCCTGTGCGTAGAAAAGCAAGGGTCCACCGAGGGATTGTTTTCCAAGCCCTATTGAAGGCATCCCGCATTCAGCCATGAGCAATGCTGTCATGCCCGTCCCGAGCCCCACCCTGCTGCCGGGTGCCAACAGCGGATTGATCGCCGTTACACCGCCAGCGGCGCTGCATTCCATCCAAGAAAAACAAGCGAAGATGGTCGAGCAAGCATACTACGATGACAATCCCTTTCTGCTCACCGAGGAGGACTTTCTTACCGACAAAGAGGAATTTTTCGAGGGATTTTACGGCGAGAATAACAATGATGATTTTTACAGCAATAAAATCGGGGACGACTTCTATGGGAGCTTCTTGGACAAGAACGATGACGTCAACAATGGCAAAACTGACGACGGAATCGTTCAGACCGACGATTTTTCGGAAATCGTTCTGACCGACGATTTTTCGGAAATCGTTCAGACCGACGACTTTTCGAAAATCGTTCAGACCGACGACTTTTCGGAAATCATCCAGACCGACGATTTCTCGGAAATCGTGCTGGGTCCTGTGGACTGCGTTCCCATTCGTGAGTATCACACCGGGTCATTTATTTATCTCAGCAGATACGCAACGCAATCACTCGGCAGTGCCTTCTTGATATCGCTGTCGTTATTGTTATTGCTATTTCGCTTCTTTGCTTGCTTGCCTGTTTGATTCGCTCATACATTCATTGGCCCGATCTGCTACCATCACTTACGGATCGCTTCTGGAATCTATGGCATTCTCGATCTTACTATATCCATTTCAATTATTTCGTTCTGTTCTTTCATGGCGTGAATTGCCACCGAAACATACGCAACAACGAAATGATATATCCTCGAATACCTGACAAACATCCCGCACTCGACAACTAACACCGAAACAGACGAACAGCTCCGGTTGAACGGTTCCACTGCCTTTTCCAACAAGCTCCTGCAGCTTGGATTCGATTTCATGTATGGGCAGTACACAATCTTTGCCCCGAGCGACAAGCTCCTGAACGACGAGGGGCTCAGGCTGCTATCGATGGGGCACTCGAGGGTTACCATAGACGAAAGCGTTCTTCTCTTTCACGTTTCGGAGTTTGGGATCTACGAAACCCTGCTCCAGCCCTCCGGCAGCCACAGCCGATGCAACAAGGCCATGCCCATGATCGACCAGGAGGGAGACCCGGAGAAAACCGTGACGCTGTGCCGGGGGGATGACATCATCTACCAGCTGGGACCCGGGAACCACTTGTACGACTCCAAAGCGGGCAGCTTGGTTTCCATGTCGTCCGGCAGAAGCGATTCCGAGATCGTCCTGGGGGTCGCCTCCACGGGCACGGCTGCCTTGTTGAAGCACCAGAGCGCGGACAATAGCAACGGGAACACCAGCGGCAACACCAACGGCAGCAAGGGTGCGGACGAGGCGATCCCCAGGCTCTCCGGGGAAAAGATCCGCGCCTGCAGCGGCGTCATCTACCCCATCGAGGACGCCCTCCTGCTGCCGACGCTCCCGGCCGTGGTGGTGGCCCCGTCCCCCGCCCCCGGCGACCAGAGCGCCGGCAAGGGGCCCACCCTCGTTCCGATCTGGTCCCCGGAGTCCGCGGGCCCGGGCGACCCCAACAAGGCGCCCACCCTCTTTCCGGAGCCCGACTGGGTGGACATCGTGAACAAGATCAGCGGAATCGAGCCGGATGGCAACGCTACCGCCGACCAGGAAGGACTGGGCATGGAGGGCAACGCTACCTCCGACCAGGAAGGATTGGGCACAGATGGCAACGCTACCGCCGACGAGGCAGGATTTTTCATGGATGGCAACGCTACCGCGGACCCGGCAAGACCGGAGTTGCTTCCGGGAATGGTTCCCACCACGGATCCAACCATGCTTCTGCCCGGAGCCCCTTCGCAAAGCGGACCTTCCTCTACGAGCAGCACGAGGAGCTGCCACCCACTGAAATCCACCGTTTTGGTGTTGTGGGTGTCCCTTTCCGTCTGGAATGGGATTTGCTGGTAACAGCCGGACGCTCCCTCGAACCTCTCGATAGAGCCTTTGGCTGGGAGCTGCAACGGAAACAACCACGGGGAATGGTGTCCAATGCAGTTTTCAACAGCCTGCAAATGGTGGTCGCTTTTCTTGTGGTTTCTCGTACACCATTGTTTGTGTCCAGTTGTGTTCCGCTATGGTTTGAACCGCGTTCTTGTCCGCGGATTACCCACTCGATTCGCATTGCAGGTTCACGAAGCGACCGCACCGAACCAGCGAATAGTTTAGTTTCGTTCGACGATCCGGAATACGAATGCAGCACAGCCCGCCAAATCTACTGCACATGGCCTGCTAGTTGTTGCCACCACAACACTTGAATCATCGCCGACCAGGTTGCCTTCGGCAACATGAAAACCCGAGGGTGATTTCTTGTGGAAAAGACAAGACAAACCACAAAAACAGCTACACACCAAATCCGCCCATCGAGTCAGTCGAGTCAGTAGTGACTAATCTACGTAGATACTAAAAGTACGCCTAGTATTGCTATTTACTCCCGTTCCTCAAGCTGTATGTTCCTAGACGAGAAATGAATAACCCCACCACTACTAATACTAATACTAATAAGAAGACCGTACGACAGCAGCTGGTTGTGCACAGGTTTTGTGCTAAAAACAACTCTTTGTTGTTCTTTGCTGTTGTTGTTGGTGCTGCTCCCTGTTTATTGCAGCTGCTCTTGGCAAAACAAGAAGAGAGACGAGGTGGGAATGGATACGAGAATCTATTAGCTAGTAGTAGTACTAGTACTACTAACATGAACCATGCAAAAGAAAACGATCCGGCGGGATGTTTGGTTCGCAATTGTGGTACCACTCACTCTCCACCGGGGGATCATTCCCCCCCCCCTTTGGAGTTCCAAGCCCCCAACTGTTTCTCTTTCTGTCTGTCCGTGCTCGGTTTCTCCGAGATCGTTCCTGATCGTTCCCGCTTTCTACGGTTTCGGGGTTTTCCAGGTTTGAGAACAAAAAACGAATGTTGCGGTACGGTATGTGCATTCTTCCTCATTTGTACTACAGTATTTGCTTTCGAAGCATCGACAGCAGCAGCACTGTTTCACGGCAATCGCCAAACGCCGGTGCAGCAACCGTGCGAGTACGACCTCACACAATACGCTAAGCTACGCTACGCTACGCTACAAACCCGGTCCTCCGTTCCTTGTCGCACGATCCAACCGCTAGCTCGAGCAGCAGTTGTGTCTGTTCCAGAGAGAGACAAGATGGAGGGCAGCGTAGTCGGCAGCAGCAGCAGCAGGCAGGAACGCGGGAGCCGCTACAGCCAAAGCCACAACAACAGTGAGCAGGGATGCAAAGAGGCGATGGACCGCACCGACAGCCGTGCGCACGAAGAAAAGGACAACGTCGTCGTCGTCGAGGAGGACTGGTCCCACCACCTGGCCGGCAGCAAACGGGACGACGACGGAACCGCCTGTGGCGGCACCCCTCCAGACCGCAATCGATTCGCGTACTACGACACGGTGGTCTTTCCCCTGTCCGAAGGGAGCGGCAGCGGCAAGCCCCTCTCCATGGAGCTCCGCTGCGTGGACGGCCTCACCCCCCTGGACATGCTGGACCTCTCCTCCGGCGTGCACGACGCCACCGGGAACCGGGTCTGGATGGGGGCCGTGCTGTTCCTGGAGTCCATGGTCCGGCCCCTGCCACTCTGCGGCGGGGACGCAACGCCCACGCAGCGCAAACGCGCGGCCGCCCTGGCGGACCTGCGGGCCGAGCTCTTCCGGGGCAGGGACGTCCTGGAGCTCGGCTGCGGCACCGGGGCCTCGCTCATCGCCCTGGGGCTGGCGGCAGCGGCGGAAGCAGAATCCAAAGAAGGATGCGCCTGCCCGGTACCCAGGTCCCTGACGCTCACGGACAACGATCCGGTGGTCCTGGAGCTGTGCCGGGCCAACTGCGAGGCGAACCTTGGGGGGCGAAAGGGAGGGAACCTGCCGACCATTGCGGTGGAACCACTGGACTGGGGGGAGTTCTGTGCCGGCGGTGGCAATGGCCACACCACAGGCGCGGAAGCCGGTCGTTTCGCGGAACCTGCCCCCCCAAAGCAAAGCGGGCCGAGCTGCCTTTCCGAATCGAGGGACACGGTGGTGGCCACCGACGTCGTCTACGACGTCGGAGCCGTCCCCCTCCTCTTTGCGGCGGCGGGACGCCTCCTCCGCGGGGGCGGCCGCTTCGTACTGGCCCACGTCCCGCGGGCCTCCGTCGACGAGGACGCGACCGACCCGTCCCGCATCACGGAGGCCCTCGAGGAACTCATCGCCGGAACGGCGGCAGACCACGGCTTTGTGGGTGAAGCGAACGACCAAGACGGCGGCGAAGGCGACGCCGCCCTGGCGCTGGTGGAAGCCGCGTGCCGAGAGGAGGAGGAGGAAGCCGGTGATCGAGACGACGGACGGCAGCGACAAGGCTCCCCCCGCCGCCCCCGAAACATCCTCCGCCCGGGCCTTCTCGCGGAGCTGTGGAAGCCGGCGGCCGTGGGAAGCGGCGACACAAGCGCAGAGACAGAAGCAAAAGCAAAGGCCACCCCCCTGGTGTCGGGAGACTACACCTACGACGAGCTCGAGTCCTGCGGGGCCTCCATCATGGTCTTTGCCAAAGAGCGAACGGAGGCGGTGGCCGGGTGAGCGGGAATCTTGATATCGAATGCGAGCTCGAGTGCGGAACGAAACAAATGGAATCCGATGCAACGTAGTGGAATCGAAACGGAGCGGAAGCAGCCCAACCATGCTGCGCTGCGTTGTACAGCACGAAGTGCTGTCAACGGAAACACAATTCTACGGCAAGCCGGTTTCTTTTCTGCAGGATCGGTATCGGTGCAAACCCCACTTTGGCGTTCTGCGATGCAAGCGACGGTGAAAAAGGCGAAGGGAATCACCGGTTTCCGTAACCATCGATGGAATCCGCTCGAGGCTGGAATCGATCCGATCCAAAAGTCGATGCCTGCATTCCCTCGGCAGGAATTTCCAACACCGGCAATAATGCAACTCGTTCCACCGCAAACAGGCAAATCCTCACTGCGACTAGAACGAGACAGGAACAAACCAAAAGACAAAGTCTAAAGTCTAGGTTGCTCTCAAGAATATTTTTTGAGCACCTCGAAATCCAACGGCGGGTACACAATCCCTTGATGGATCTCGCCAAGAAGAAATAGCCCGAACCCAGTGCTGCGAACGAAAAAGACAAGCCTATCGATTTAGTTCATCGTTCTTCACCCAAACAATATTTGGGTGAGAATTCCATGCCATCAATAACAATACTTTTATAAAGCAAACAGCTTTTTAAACTCTATTGCAGCAGAGAGCCGATCGTGTATCATTGCTCGCGGGTGTGTGCCCTCTCCAATCAGCACGGGGGATATCCCTGGCCGCTTCGGAGGTAGGACAGCCGTCGCTGCCTTCTATTTTCACCACCGGTCGGACCTCTGGTAGTGCCGGTGCCGGGCTCGCAGAACCTCGGCCGGCGCTGGCTGCGGACCCGCCGGTAGTAAAAGGTCCCCCCGCAGAGCTTCCGAACCTCGCCTCTGCCGCCGCCACAGCTCTCGTCCAGCCGGTCCAGCGTACGCTGCTTGTCGCCTTGCGAAAGGTTGGAGGCGTGCGAGACGATCTTGGCGTAGGCCAATAGCTCGGGGCAGATCCACCCGCAGAGGGTGGAGGCCGCGGCATCCGAGAGGGGGGGTGGTTTTTGTTGCGCGACGATGTCGTTGCTGCTGTGGCTTTGGTCGTCGTTGTCGTCGTTGTCGCTGGTGGTGGTGGTGGTTATCTCGTTGCTGCTGTAGTGCGTGTCCACCCCAAAGGGTTTACGGACTGTATAGAACGAGTCCATCTCGGGGGTCACCGGGAGCCCCGTCCACTCCAGGAGGGTACGGTTGAGGTCGCCCGCGGAGTCTTCGGCACGGATCACGTCGATTCTCGGAACGGGTGCCTGGTCCATGTTTGAATCCGTTGTTGCGTTCGAAGTTGCGTTTGCGGTTGTGTTTGCAGCTCTGGAGCGGCCCATGAGGATCCGCACCAGAACGTCCTCGAGGTAGTATTCGTAGTTGAAGAAATTGTGGGCGTAGCACGGGATGGATCCCTCTAGGCACTGCCTCGCGAGTCTCGAGCAATACTCGCTGGCGATGCCCGACGGAAAGAAGTCGTCGAAAAAGCGGTTCCCGCGTTTTCGGATGTCTTTGTGGATGCTATTGCTGCTATTGTTGTGGCTATTGCTGCTGTTGGTGCCAGCCCCCGGGGCACCCCCGTGCCCCAGAACCAGTTCTTCTACTGTCCGGTAATTGCACCGGTGGGGATCGACGAGGTCGTGGAGGGCGTGCGAGCGCCGTTTCCCCAGGACGGCCTGAAAGTGACGCTCGTAGTGGAACCAAGAGACCAAACGGTCGATCGGGTTCCGGATCGGGACCAGGAAATGGGAATTGGTGAGGGTCTTGTGTAGGTTCCGGTCGAGGTGCACGAGGCCGCGGCCTGGTGGTTCTCCTTTTCCATTGGTTTGATATTGTGTTCCGTCGCCCCCCTCGCCGTCGTCGCTGGCCCTAGAATCGGTGACGCGGGCCAGGGCACACATGTGGTGGTGCAAGATTTCTGCAGCGGTGCCTTCCCCGTGATTCTCTATCGCTGTCGATTGGCTGCTGGGATTGTCTCTAACAGTGCCGTTGTGGTTGTGGGAACGACAGTATTCCGAGGCGGAACGCACCAACTGCCTCAGGGCCGATCCCCCCGTTTTCCCAATGTGGAGGAGCGTCACGCGGGTTCCGGTTTCAAACTGCAAGCGGAGATTCTTATGCCTGTTGTTGCTGCTGGGGAAAAAACCGGACGTTGGTTGCGAACCACTAAGCATCTCGTTCAGCAAGGGGTTCCCTGTCGGTTCCGTGTCGTTCCGAGAAGTCCGATCCCGCAGCGAAAGGGTGCTAGGCTTGGATTCCAAACTATCTAGAGTAGTTGTCGATTGATTACTGCCGCTGTGGTCTTTTGGATCTTCGAGAATGGCAATCGCAGATTGGATAGGGTGGTGGTAATGATGGTGGCCGACGAGTTTCCCCGCGGAGGGTAGTTCCTTCCACCACCACCGGTTGGCAACGAGGAGCACAGAAAGGACGATTCCCACCCACACCCGTGGTGGTTTGTGTTTCCTCGTCCTGCCTTCCTGCTTCACGCAATGGGGAGGATGGTCCGCCCCTCCGATCATTCCGATGATTTCGTGGTCGGTTGGAGCGACTCAAAGGTACAAATAGTGGTCAAGGCGGGGAATCTCGGTGGGGAAGTGGTTCCTGATCTCGAGTAAATGGTGGTGAGTCCGCTGACATAAATTCCTCCCCCACATTGTGTTTCCGTGGTAGCAGCGACCAAAGAATGTCCTACATTCTAAGCTACCAATCAGTCCCGATAATCGAACGCAACGCCACCCGACAAAATTGAACATGGATGGTGTTCGTCCCTCAAGACACCGTTTTCATCTTGTTCCCTGGGCCATGAGCTTGATATCGCAAAGCAATCGTTCGTTGTCTGACGATCCTTTGTTTTGGGCGATTATTGTTTAGCTTGCACGCACGGGGACGCATGCAACAAACCAGCAACGCCATTAGTTTGTGGCTAGGCTACGGTTCACACTTTCATACACTAGGTGGCATCGGTCGGGGAAGGTTCCGGATGCAATGGCTTTCCAAAAAACTCGTGTCACATGAAAATATCTTTCATGTGTATCGAACGGAAGGATCCAGCGGAACAATATCTGTGAGCCAGTAATACGGTACACGTACTCGTACCGGTATCAAGTAAATCACGAGTAGATGGTGAGTGAGCAAGTGGCTTACTGTCTGGGTATGAACGTACTCATATTGGTATGAACATATCTGTCTGGGTATGAACGTACTCATGTGGGTATGAACATA